TAATATTGAAATAACCGTTTTTTACTACATGCATATGAATATAAATAACATTTTTTAGGTATATATACATAGGTAAATAAACCAAAATAACATTTTTTACACTTTTTGTCTATCTGTTTGTTCCGGCTAATCTCTGAAATGGCTAGACCGATTTTGACGGAACTTTTTTTGGCGGGTAGCTAATGTAAGGAGTAACTTAGGCTACTTTTATTTTAGAAAATAAAAACTCCACGCAGACGAAGTCGCGGGTACAGCTAGTGGGTAATATACCCATGAATAACTATAACGTAGGTCGGACAGTATTAAATTTAACGATTTCACTTTTATTATATCCGGTATCTCACCGCGGTACAATTTTGAATATTGCCTGCTATAATTTTAACGGGCTCGGTGGTCTAGCGATTAAGCACACCGCTTCATTTCCGATGGTCGCGGGTTCGATTCCTCTCACGGCACACACATTTGTATTCATGAGTATGATTGTTTGATCTGGGTGGTTTCTATGTATAATATGTATTTACAAAAAAAAATGTATTTGTATCAGTTATCTCGTACCCATAACACAAGCTTCAGCTAGCTTAACCTGGGTCTAGATGGCGCTGTGTGATTGTCCTGAGATTATTGTTAAATAAATAAATAACCCAGGACAATTCACACAGCTAGTCGTCTATAAATAGTATTTAAAACAAAATCTCTCTCTTATTTCACTCGTCTTTCCTTGTCTCTCTTTCTCCCTTGTCTCTTTTGTATGACTGTAATTATATTGCTACGGTTTCCACTATTACGGTGCGAAACTAAAAAGAAAGGAAATTTCGTCGTCACACCGTAATATTTAAAACAATCAAACTCCAATTGGCGGCGTTGTCAAAGCGTAAAAAAATCAATAAGTCTTAAAATTCGGCGCGAGATCCGAACCCGCACTGATTTACGAGCGGTTCGTGCCGCCGTGAATGCAACCTCCGCTTTACAGGACGTGATTGAAAAGAAGCATTAAGGCTGCATGCTCCCGACCCTCGTACAAAACGTGCTACTATGAAAGATTTCTACAATAACTATTTAATTTGATTTCTACAATAATTACTTGACGAAAATTATTTATGTACTAAATTTCGTACAACTAATACCAACATTTCACACTAGTCAGATTTTCTTTACAAATTTGTTTTCGAACTACACGTATTTAACTGAATCTAAATATAAATATAAATATATAACTCAAAGATGACTGACGTAGTGATCTATCAACGCACAGCCCAAACAACTGTACGGATCAGGCTGAAATTTGGCATGCAGGTAGATGATCTGACGTAGGCATCCGATAAGAAAGAATGTTGATTAATTCTACCCCCAAGGGGATAAAATAGGGGATGAAAGTTTATATGAAACTTTGTCAATTTTAAACCGATCGAGCTGAGACTTTGCATGCATAAAGCTACATAGTAGTATGACGTAGGCATCTCCTAAGAAAGGATTTTGATCAATTCCATCCCTAAGGGGATAAATTAACGCGAGCGAAGCCGCGGGCAAAAGCTAGTTAAGTATACAACCAACTGGTTGAGAAATAAACAAGAGTAACTTATCGATAAAATATCGAGTGAAAAACTCGACATTGACCAAAATAAAGGTCCAACCTTTAGCTCATTCGTATGAACAGTCCAAGACAGGATAAAAATATGAAAAATTTATTTTCAGAATTATAACAAAAAATACCTTTATATTTACTGTAATAATAGAGTAAGTAAGCCGAGTAGAGCGGAACATAAATATACGACAAAATTTCAATTGAAAGTATTGCTATCTCGCTTGTGTGAGGGGAGACGCGAGATCTCTGAATAGAGATAGAACTAGATACTTGAAGAATACCTATATAATAATCGAATTGCGTGGACGCAGTCCTCTTAAGTTTGGGACGTGGCTTCTTGTAATTTCAGGAATTATGGCTATAAATATATGTTTACTAGTTGTCACACGCTACTTCGGCTGCTTCATCATTACATAGTATAAAGCAAAGTCGCTGTCGCCGTCTGTCCCTATATACATAAAATTTTTTTTAAATCTTATGTATATATGCTTAAATCTTTAAAACTACGCAACGGATTTTGAAGCGGTTTTTTTAATAGATAGAGTGATTCAAGAGGAAGGTTTATATGTATAATACATGTACACTCGTGCGAAGCCGGGGCGAGTAGCTAGTATAGTATAAAACAAAGTCGCTGTCTGTCTCTATGTATGCTTAAATCTTTAAAACTACGCAACGGATTTTGAAGCGGTTTTTTTAATAAATAGAGTGATTCAAGAGGAAGGTTTATATGTATAATACATGTACACCCGTGCGACGCCGGGGCGAGTAGCTAGTTGTTAATATAAAGAAGCCAATATCACTATAGCGGCGCCATCAGAACAAAGTCATATCCGTCAGGCAGGAGTTGGTTATAAGTCCTTCCGTGGGTTTTTTATGGATGATAATGGAATGGTGCACCCGCCTGCGCTAACGGTTTACGCTGGCGGGGCACCAGTGGAGGATGATAAGATGAACATGAGGTCAGGTCAGTTAGCCCAACGTGACAAATTCAACAAGAATTTGTCACGATGGTTTCTAGACGCAACCGCGTGGAGGTCAACCTGACATGGTACATTGCTAGCAATAAGATCATCAGTCCACATTACTAACACTCCCCTTTCCACCTCCCGCGGGTTTGGCGTGCTTGGTACACTGGCAACTTCCCCTCCGATCGATCCCCCGTCCAATTCAAACGGGGATCGAAATTACGACGGCCTGAGCCGAGGTTCGAACCCCTAGTGGTGCCCTCAGACTAAAGTCGTATCCGTCAGGCAGGAGTTGGCCTTCAGCCGCTCCATAAGTCCTTCCACGGGTTTGGAGTGCCATCTGCACTCGCCCCATAACGTCCGGTGAAGCTGTAAAGGCCAGCTACGGCCAACAGCTTTAGAGTAGTCGAAAAAAAAAAAACTTGCAACTATTCGTCCGGTAAATTGTAAATAATCAAAATTAAAAAAAAACTTGAGTTATCTTTAGCCAAATCGCAATTTTTCCTTTCTTGGAACATGTTTATCTTCAGCTTAAACCCGAACCTACAATATTTCTTCCAACGGGACACGTATTCAGCATATCTAAGACTCATGTTTACAAATACCACTCAATAAATGCCTTTTAATTAACCCATAATCTATAACTGGGAATTAAACTGCTCGTTAGGCCGCCGAAACGCATTACGGGCCGTCAACGGAGCCCTAAACCAATAAATACGGGAACCGCCGCGCCCGTACATCAAACTGACATTAATGCTCGCTGGCAATCAACTACACCTATAAACCATTACAGCAACATAAATAAACTCCTAAAACTCTACATAGAATAAATAAATAACGGAAAAGTGTAAATACAAAACACAATCCAATATGTTTAACGGCGATATTCGTGTAACACGCCGTATTGTTGTTATTTTATTATTTAAATTAATGTAAATTTTATCTAATTAAACGATTTAAATGTTACATTAAGTGTAAGGCGTCGATCAATATTAAAATAAGACAATATTTGGGTGCAAGCTTACCTTGAACGTATGTAAACAAATGCAGACTAGCCACCAAGAAAATCCAGTTTCCAATCCCAAATAGACACATCCCTGTCCGGCACATATTGTAATCCACTGTAACAACACTACACCAGATGTTTTAATTCATTGAATTCACATTTTCACATAAAATATACGAATAATAATACAATCATTTCACACTATGTTAGCAATGCGATACAGACTATCCGCCATTTTCATACGAACCGCTGTGTTCAGAAACCGAACTCAATAATGAAAGGGCAATGCCCGGGACAAAATTAATGTCACATGAAGTTGTCGCTTTTGACACAAGGAAATGAAGTTAGCTGTACGACTAGTGTTGTAGTAAGTGCGATATCAGTCGTCGATTGTATTTTGCGTTTAGTTTCTCATAAGAAATATTTTAGACATTAAAGTCTGCTAATAAAACCTTTGTTGGTTGAGGTAATTAATAGGTTAATTACCTCAATCTACAGACAGGTTTTATTAGACTTCAGACCTCAATGGCTAAAATATTTTCTTCGTTCTAAAATATTTTAATAGTCCTTACGGTAATAAAAAAACGAATTATAGCTCGTTTTTTATTACCGTAATAATAACTCTAGACATTGCACACAGAGTTCGATTTAGTTCCAAACTAAAATGAGCAGAGCTTGTGTTAGGGGTACTAGACAGCTGTCATAAATACAGAATATAAATACTTTCATAATGTACATCGGAAACAAAAGTAAGTAAAAGCAATCATACTCAAGAATATAAATGTATTTATTTATAAAACGCTACAGTTAAGCTGTTGATTTTAAAACATATGGATTAGAACCACCTAACCACTTTCTATTTGTGGTTCAACCTATTTCTAGGTCTGCTAAGTGTACGTAGCGGTTTCTATGTTAATTATCGCATGCCTCTTACTTATTACTGCGTACTTATTTATTTAAGAACATTTATACAACAGACACTCAATACAGAAGTTTCTTGCTCGTTTTTCCTGTAATGATTCTGCGTTTCGATAGAGTGCTTGAATAAAAAAATATGACTATTCTAAAATTCAAATTTTTTTTTAATAATAAATAACAGATATTTTTGAGATAGAATGTCCAGTTTTATTTCTTTTTAATTACTAATCATTTTACAATTTTTTTTGTATAAAAGCCGTGAAATGCAATTAAAGGAGGTTTTATGTGCTAACAGATAGTGTGCTAAACTGCTAGACCACCGAAACCGTCATACAAAGCAAAGGTACAATTTATCATAGAACTTGAAGATATTAATCCGTTCTAAAATTATCGATTTAATAAAATATTTGAAACTGATTGTACATTGTTGTAACTAAACGAAATGTAGGATTAAATTTTTTGTCTGTGGTTTTGTTTTGAAATTTGACATATCAGGAAAGTCTAATTGTCAACTCAAGAATTTCAGCAAACGTTGATGCAAAAACTGCAACTCTATTAACAATTTAATTTATATAAAACTTTTTTTTAAATTTAGCAATATATGTTTAATATTAAAATATGGAATTGATATATTCAATGAGGCGCAAGCCTCTGAAATATCCACCGCCTCATTTCGAAAAGTAAGCAAATAACATTATCAATTTTACGATTCTTTTGCAGTATTTATATTTTTTTATTATAGAATTCAGAGGTTAAGTAATTGCTATATAAAGCTTTAAATATTTTTAAGAGCATTGGGGCTTGGGGCATTATGATTTAATACCGAAATTGTAGTTTACATTTCTAGTGTCTCCGATTATAGAATAACTTACCTATAACACAAATTATTACGAAAGACAGTAGTAGGTCCAAATCCTGCCCCTTTATATTCAAATATTGCATACATAATAAGTGAAAAATTAATATAAGAGCTTTGTCCACGATTTGACATTTGGCAATGGTTCTGACTACCCCATAAGTCGTTATAGTACAAGCCTGAGATTTTCAATATATGTTAGACATATACACTTTCTAAATGTTAATAGACTGGTTTAAATAACAATATTAGTTTTCAACTGAAGTTGCCAAGTTCTATAGTAGGAATGGATGTCAAAAATGACCTATATCAATGTCTAGCCGATGCACATAACTTCATCTGTATCAAGTATGCACAAGAAGAAGCTTACAAAACCAATAAAAGTTCATGATTATTTTTTTCTTTGACATATTGTTTTTGTTCTACTATTATTTTTTTTATTCTCTATTGCACTATAAAGAGTGTACAAGAGGCCAGTTTAATGCTATATGGCATTATCTACTAGCTAACCTTTGGGTAGAACTAGAATGATTATAATTCTCTTAGTTTTTTTTTTAAAGAATTGTTAAATGGTAAGGAATCCAGTAACACTGACCTCTTGCATATATTTTGTATATAGCCTATATAACCTTCCTTGATGAATGGGTTATCCAAAACTGAAATATTTCTATAAATTGGACCAGTAGTCAGAGATTACTGACACAAAAGATTAGCTCTTTCCTCCTAATGTTATTTTTTTTAAATGTTAAGGAAACTAATAAAGCACAGAACAATGGTATACAGAGATTGTATAGGGGTGCATATTAATATCTTTGCAATAGAATTATGAGACCCATTGCAATGCAGGAGGCTTAAGAGACTCCATGCATGGTATTTTATTCACTGATGAGACAGTTTCCTCACTGAAGGTACAGTTCTTTCCCGTCAACAGTCCTACAAATCTGTTAAAAGCTTGGTGAGCCGATTGCAGGATACAAAAGGAAAAAAAGAAATGTTAAGGAAACCAGTAGCACTGTGACCGTTTGCATATTGTCTATAATCTTCCTTGAAGAATGAAAAGTAGAGGAAGAAAGAAATGGGTTATCCAACACTAAAAAATATCTAAGTTAAAATTCATAGCGCTGACAATGTTATCTGATTGAACAGAGATTAAGTGCTAGCAGTTCCTATGTTGATTGTAACATGCCTAATCCTAGTTGTTAATTAAATATGAGTAAATCAATATTTATTTAAAAGAGCAACACACAAGTTTCTTGCTTATTCTTCTTGTGATGAATCTGCATACCGAATAAGTGGTAGAATAAAAAAACTTGACTATTCAAAAGTGCTTATATTAAGTTTATTTGAATAAAGATTATTTCTATTTCTATTGAAATTGTACCCGTAGTTTCTAAGAGTAATCCTTTCAACCAAACATTCAAACTTTTCAACTTAATAGTGTAAATTATTACTTTGATTTAAGTTATTTCTTCAGTCCCTTAGATGCGGAAGTGGTGAGACCCATTTGCACGATATCAAATTCGAATATAATTGCATTTTCGTCTCCGACTGAGTTGTCGGACTCCGATGGCAACACCTGGGGTGGTCATGTGTATGTTTGTGACTTGGATACACCGTGGGATAGTCACAAAGTTACAAGTACCCCATATCCTGTAAGTAACTATAATTTTTATACATAACTTTTGTTTTAGTATAGTATTGATCATGTATATGTATATATATATATATATGTTTTTTTAATGTATGGTAATATATGTTTTTTTGGGTTTTAGGCAATGGTACATCCATCTGACCTAACAGTATACGCAGTATCCGCTTTCCCCCCTAAATATGCATTTTTTTAATGGTTGTTAATGGAATGATGCATCCATTTGCATCAATGGTTATGCTAGAGGATCATAAGATGGACATGAAGCCAGATCAGTTAGCACATCCTGGCAAATTTACCAGGAATTTATTAACCTCATGTGGTACATTGCCAGCAAAGGGTTGTTAGTCCACATAACTTATCCCCTACCCCCTAATCCCAGGGGAAGGGGATTTCTTTATTTATTTATTCATTTGCATTTCATAATGTCGCAATAAGGGTTGATATAGTATTATTATAAGAGCACTATGGACCGTGATGGGCGCAGCAAGCTACAATGAGGTTCAGTGGCGTTAACAGAATTTAATTATTTTATATATTATTTTTCTAATCTAATGAATAATAATAATGTATACAGATACATTATTATTATGGACTGACTTTATAATTTATCTGTCAAATATTCGTTGACATTATAATAACATTTTTTTATTAGTAATTTTTTTAGGTTATCTATAAATATTTTTTTTTATATTTTTCTAATCTTCTGATAGAGTATTATTTATTTATCGACATTGCCAGAGGACCAGATGAGTGCAAACTAAGTTTGTAGTCTGGAAGCATTCATTTGTTTTGCAATTTTTACTAATGGAGACTAATAACCCCATTGCTAGTATGTAAGTAATGTACCATGGCAGGTTGACAATGCGGTTCCTTTAAATTCCTGGTGAATTTGTCATGATATGCTAACTGACCTGATCTCATGCTCATCTTAACTGCAACACTGCTGCATATACCGTTAGCGAAGGCAGGTGCACTATTACATTATCATTAATTAACTACCCTCTTTCCCTTTGATATACTTATATATGCCATTTGCATTCTAGTGGGAATGACGGCCTCTGGTCTAGTGGTTTAGCACACAACTCCACATCTGGCAGTTGCTGGTTCGATACCTCATGTTGGAAACTCCAACAAAAATAAGTGTTAAAACCGCTTGCATAATTTACTCATAATATTCAAATACATGACGCTGTGTTCTAATGTTTGTGATTGTCATTTGTTTTGTTTTTAATATGCTTTAATATTTTTGTTACACCTCTAATTATATCCACATTTTAATATATCCTTACTAATATTATAAATGCGAAAGTAACTCTGTCTGTCTGTCTGTCTGTCTGTCTCGCTTTCACGCCAAAACTACTGAACCGATTTAAATGAAATTTAGTACGCAGATAGTCTAGACGCCGAGGATGGACATAGGCTACTTTTTAATGCGAAAAAAGGGTTGTAAGGGGTTCAAAATGGAAATACAAGGTTATCTTTATGCGGTTGAATCCTTATTCGTCATATTTTCATTTCACTAGCTAACAACCAATCAACACATCGCGTGCGTTTGCGCCATTCGCCATCTTTTCATTTCACTAGCTAACAACCAATCAACACATCGCGTGCGTTTGCGCCAATAAGGTATCCATCACAGAGAACAAAACCACAGATAACATAATGTAAAACGAAAGATCTTGCCGGAAACATGACGTTGACGTTTAGTGAAAATATTGTTTTTTGACACTTTTTATGATAAAATCGTATATCGTGTGTATGTGTCTTTCTTTAAACCTGAAATTGGCCAATTGCGAGAAAAATTTGGGATTTTTTTTTTTATTACACTCAACTTAAAGTTTTACAATATAAATTACAAAAATGAAAGTCAATATCCAATGTTAAATAATAATAAATGTCAAATGTTGTTTCCCTGTTCCCTTAAAAAAAAACTATTAAGTTTTCTTTTTAAGTTGTTCAGTACAATTACAATTTCTTCAAATTTTATTATTTACATTTTTTAAAGAATGTTGTGGTGTAGCACTATCCGAAATTAAATTATTTACCCATTTTTGTAGGTTATACAGAAATAATGTGTGGGTGTTTATTTAAAAAGCATTAACACAAAATTAATAAAGTATAGGTATTAATAAATATATGGTTGTTGTATCAAAATAGAATTTTCTTATTTTTCACTAAAATAAAAACTAACTGTCTTTTTTATAAAATAAATGACCTTTTCATTATGCCATATATTATGGAACTATTTAAATTATTTAGCTGATTGTAAGAAACAAAATGTTGGTTTGTAGATTAATACTGTAAAATTATTATTTGTACGGAAACGATAAAAATATATTTTTGTGCTGCGACAAAAACTAATATTATAAATGTGAAAGTAACTCTGTCTGTCTGTCTCGCTTTCACGCCAAAACTACTAAACCGATTTGAATGAAATTTGGTATACAGATAGTCTAGACCCTGAGAACGGACATAGGCTACTTTTTAATGCGAAAAAAGGGTTGTAAGGGGTTAAAAGGGGGGATGAAAGATTGTATGGAAGAATCGTAATTTTTGAAGCTTGAAACTTATTTTTGAGACTGTTGATTAAATATAAATAAAAATGACATTCAATGTTTGTAAAAAATTACCCTTAAGGGGGTAAAATAAAATAGGGGATGCAAGTTTTTAAGTAAATTCGTCATTTTTGAAGCTTGAAACTTATTTTTGAGGCTGTTGATTAAATATAAATACATATGACATTCATTGTTTGTAAAAAAATTACCCTCAAGGGGGTAAAATAAAATAGGGGATGCAAGTTTTTATGTAAACACGTCATTTTTGAAGCTAGAAGCTTGAATCTTATTGTTGAGACTGTTGATTAAATATAAATACATTGACATTCATTGTTTGTAAAAAAAATACCCTTAAGGGGGTAAAATAAAATAGGGGATGCAAGTTTTTATGTAAAATCGTCATTTTAGAAGCTAGAAGCTTGAAACTTATTTTTGAGGCTGTTGATTAAATATAAATACATATGACATTCATTGTTTGTAAAAAAATTACCCTCAAGGGGGTAAAATAAAATAGGGGATGCAAGTTTTTATGTAAACACGTCATTTTTGAAGCTAGAAACTTGAATCTTATTGTTGAGACTGTTGATTAAATATAAATACTTATGACATTCTTTGTTTGTAAAAACAAATACCCTTAAGGGGGTAAAATAAAATAGGAGATGCAAGTTTTTATGTAAAATCGTCATTTTTGAAGTTAGAAGCTTGAAACTTATTTTTGAGGCTGTTGATTAAATATAAATAAATATGACATTCATTGTTTGTAAAAAAATTACCCTTAAGGGGGTAAAATAAAGTAGGGGATGATAGTTATTATGTAAATTCGTAATTTTTGAAACTAGAACGATGAAACTATTTTCATTGGTTCTTTTGGGGTAGATTTTTAAAAACCCCACTAATGTTATAACTGTGAAAGTAACTCTGTTTGTCTTTCTGTCAGTCTTACGCTCCAAAACAAAATAAAAATTTAAATGAAATTTGGTACACAGTTAGTTTACACCCGGACAAAGAATATAGGGTACTTTTGAATGTGAAAAAAGTATTGTAAGGGGGTTGCAATGGTAGGCTGTATGGAAGAATCGTCATTTTTTAAAACTAGAAGTTTGAGACTCATTTTTAGGCTGTTGTTTAAATATCAATAAATATGATATTCAATGTTTGTAAAATGTTTACTCTTAGGGGGAGGGGGGTAGTAAAATAAAATAGAGAATGAAAGTTATTGTGGAAATTTGCTGTTTGTGTGGTTGTGGAAGCTAGAACGATTAAACTTTTTTCTTTGTCTTTTTAGGGTTAGTTTATTAAATACCTTACTGATATTATAAATGTGAAAGTAACTTTATCTGTTTGTCTCGCTTACACGCCAAAAATACTGAACCGATTTAAATTGAAATTTGAAACAGACATAGATAGACTAGATCCTGAGAAAGGACATAGGTTACTTTTTAATGTGAAAAAGGGTTGCAAGAGGATTAAAAGGGTAGATCCAAGGTTATATAGATGTATCGTCATATTTAAAGCTAGAAGTTTGAAATTTATTTTTTAGCCTATTGATTAAATATTTATTTTTACTTTTTATCATTTTTGAAGCTAAAACGATGAAACTTATTTATTTGACTTATATTGTGTTAATTGAGTTAAATATTTTTTCATTATTTACGCGGACGAAGTCGCGGGTACAGCTAGTATATATATAATTACGATTTAATTTCCAATTTAGTGTTTTTATAATTATTTATAAGGAATACATCCATGCAACTCGTTGAGATTCACACACCTTACACTACACAAAGACCTCGATGTTTTCCAACTAATATAGTTGGATGTATGTATTTACAAAAAATATCTATGTATTCATATCAGTTGTCTACCTATAATGAAGCTCTTCTTGACTTGGCACTAGATGGCGCTGTGTGGATTGTCCTGACATTATTATTTCCAGATATCTACACTTGAATGGGATAATGAAGGCAAGCAACTGCTGGTTGCGACGACGGACGGAGATGTGTCTGTGTTTGGTCAGAAGGATTATCTGCTCAATGAATGGCAATGTTTGTACACAGCACAGTTTCCTGGTGAGTTTTCAACATGTTACGGCCTTTTTTTTTTTTATAACACAGGGGACAAACGAGCATGCAGCTCACCTGATGGTAAGTGATTACCGCCGCCCATGAGCACCCGCAACACCAGGGGAATTGCAAGTACGTTGTCAGCCTTTTAAAAAGGAATAAGCTCTTTTCTTGAAGGTTTCAATATCGTATCGGTTCGGAAATACCATTGCTGGAAGGTGATTCCACAATGTGGCACGGCTACAAACACCCTAGATCCATATAACTACTTATACATTACACAATCCGTAGTTCTTGCCAAACTGAAGAGGAAACGCCACTACACATCCTATGTGGTTGTAGCCCACTCATGCATAAACGAAATATCTCCTTTGGAAAGTTTACACTATCCTGAGGAGATAAAAACCATCGTTTCTAAGAATATCCTTCAATTCTTGTCCCTGACGGGTCTAGGTAGCGAACTCTGAAAAATTGCGAGCACAATAGATCTATGTAGGTTGCAGTGTAACAGGGCCAAACACCTGACAATAGATCAAATAACTCAATAATAAAAAAAAAACTAAATGGGCATGGATTGTTCTTGGAAAGTATGTCCCAATACTTTCCAACAGTCGATGACTCAAAAGAACGGCATCCAAGAGGTACGAGGACTCCAATGATAAGGGTGTAACTCCTAAATTTTTTTATTTTTATTGGTAATTAAAATTTTTCCCCTCGACCATCAACCCCTATTTTTTTATAGCAATATTAATTTATATGACAAAACAATGTTTGCCATTGGTTCTATGTGCATATTATGTTACTAGCTGTACTAGCGACTTCGTCCGTGTGGAATTTAACAAAAAAGTTAATTAGAGAATTTTTCTAAAATAAAAGTAGCTCAAGTTACTCCTTATTACATCAGCTACCTGCCAAAATCGGTCCAGCCATTTCAATATACTGACCAAAATTTATAGATAGCAATTTCGAAGATCGAAAGCAAAATTTATAGCGAATTCGTCCGCGTGGACTTTAACATTAGTTTTTCTAAAATAAAAGTACCCTTATGTTGTTCCTTATTACATCAGCTACTTGCCAAAAAAAGTCCCGTCAAAATCGATCCAGCCATTTCAGAGATTAGCCGAAACAAACAGACAGACAGAAAGACAAAAATTGTAAAAAAAATATTTTGGTGTATGTACCGTAGATATAATTTTATTTATATATATGTACAGATGTGGAATGTTTAAAATTGTAACTAAAATCTATTGAATTGTGACTTTAGAAGCATTTTCTTGTTTCAGGTGAGCAAATTATAAAAGCAGTTTTTTTCCACAATGGACGACGTTTTGTGTTAATGGACAAGAAGCCTGATGCACCAATTACTGAGAGAATTCAGATGTCCAGGTCCACACCAACCCTCAAGGGATTTGGGTAATTTTTCAAATTTTTTTTTAATATTTAACTATTATATATATGGCTGGCTGGCTACCGTTCAAGGCAGCTGGCCTGACAATATTGTTTGCTTTAGCCCAAATCCCTTGACCCTCAAGGGTTAAATTAAATATGAGGTCATCATCAGCCCACTACAGTCCACTGCTGGACATAGGCCTCTCCCAAGGCACGCCACTGGGCACGATCTTCAGCCCTTCTCTTCCATTTTTTACCCGCAACCCTACGTATGTCGTCGCTCCACCTAGCTGCGGGGCGTCCTACACTACGTTTGCCAATTCGCGGTCTCCACTCTAGAACACGCCTACTCCAGCGAGCATCGGTTCTACGACAGATATGACCAGCCCACTGCCACTTCAACTTGCAAATACGAAGAGCTATGTCGGTGACCCTAGTTCTCTGGCGAATTACTTCGTTACGGATTTGATCCCTCAGAGAAACTCCAAGCATAGCTCTTTCCATAGCTCGTTGAGCGACTTTGAGTTGGTGGACCAGTCGTATCGTCAGTGTCCACGTTTCGGCACCGTATGTCATAACGGGTAGGACGCACTGGTTATAAACCTTGATCTTAAAATATAACATAAATTCTCATAATTGTTTTAAATGTTTAATTGTTATATATATGATTCAGTAGCGCATCAGAGATGTAGACGTTTGCAGCAATACCTATAGATGGCTTTGAAGCAATAATGCGATATAGAACTGCATCAGTGATGTGTAGAATTGAGGGAGCAAACAGCCTCCTAAACACCATATCATATATGTCGGATTGTCCGCTCCAGAGACACTGGACATCGCTGCACTGTTGCGGACCCAATGCTTCTGGACGTTGTCAATAGACATAACTACTCCTAAACACCATATCATATATGTTGGATTGTCCGCTCCAGAGACACTGGATATCGCTGCACTGCTGCGAACCCAGTGCTTCTGGACGTGGACATAGACATAACTACTCCTAAACACCATATCATATATGTTGGATTGTCCGCTCCAGAGACACTGGACATCGCTGCACTGCTGCGGACCCAGTGCTTCTGGACGTGGACATAGACATAACTACTCCTACACACCATATCATATATGTTGGATTGTCCGCTCCAGAGACACTGGACATGGCTGCACTGCTGCGGACCCAGAGCTTCTGGACGTGGACATAGACATAACTACGCCTCAAACCCATATCGTATATGTTGGATTGTCCGCTCCAAAGACACTGGACATCGCTGCACTGCTGCGGACCCAGAGCTTCTGGACGTGGACATAGACATAACTACTCCTAAACACCATATATATGTCGGATTGTCCGCTCCAGAGACACTGGACATCGCTGCACTGTTGCGGACCCAATGCTTCTGGATGTGGACATAGACATAACTACTCCTAAACACCATATCATATATGTTGGATTGTCCGCTCCAGAGACACTGGACATCGCTGCACTGCTGCGGACCCAGTGCTTCTGGACGTGGACAATAGACATAACTACTCCTAAACACCATATCATATATGTTGGATTGTCCGCTCCAGAGACACTGGATATCGCTGCACTGCTGCGGACCCAGTGCTTCTGGACGTGGACATAGACATAACTACTCCTAAACACCATATCATATATGTTGGATTGTCCGCTCCAGAGACACTGGACATCGCTGCACTGCTGCGGACCCAGAGCTTCTGGACGTGGACATAGACATAACTACTCCTAAACACCATATCATATATGTTGGATTGTCCGCTCCAGAGACACTGGACATCGCTGCACTGCTGCGGACCCAGAGCTTCTGGACGTGGACATAGACATAACTACTCCTAAACACCATATCATATATGTTGGATTGTCCGCTCCTTTGACTCCGGATATCGCTGCACTGCTGCGGACCCAGAGCTTCTGGTCGTGGACAATAGACATAACTACTCCTAAACACCATATCGTATATGTTGGATTGTCCGCTCCAAAAACACTGGACATCGCTGCACTGCTGCGAACCCAGTGCTTCTGGACGTGGACATAGACATAACTACTCCTAAACATCATATCGTATATGTTGGATTGTCCGCTCTAGAGACACTGGATATCGCTGCACTGCTGCGAACCCAGAGCTTCTGGACGTGGACATAGACATAACTACTCCTAAACACCATATCATATATGTTGGATTGTCCGCTCCAGAGACACTGGACATCGCTGCACTGCTGCGGACCCAGAGCTTCTGGACGTGGACATAGACATAACTACTCCTAAACACCATATCATATATGTCGGATTGTCCGCTCCAGAGACACTGGACATCGCTGCACTGCTGCGGACCCAGTGCTTCTGGACGTGGACAATAGACATAACTACTCCTAAACACCATATCATATATGTCGGATTGTCCGCTCCAGAGACACTGGACATCGCTGCACTGTTGCGGACCCAATGCTTCTGGATGTGGACATAGACATAACTACTCCTAAACACCATATCATATATGTTGGATTGTCCGCTCCAGAGACACTGGACATCGCTGCACTGCTGCGGACCCAGTGCTTCTGGACGTGGACATAGACATAACTACTCCTAAACACCATATCATATATGTCGGATTGTCCGCTCCAGAGACACTGGACATCGCTGCACTGTTGCGGACCCAATGCTTCTGGATGTGGACATAGACATAACTACTCCTAAACACCATATCATATATGAGGGAGTGTCCGCTCCAGAGACACTGGACATCGCTGCACTGCTGCGGACCCAGTGCTTCTGGACGTGGACATAGACATAACTACTCCTAAACACCATATCATATATGTCGGATTGTCCGCTCCAGAGACACTGGACATCGCTGCACTGCTGCGGACCCAGTGCTTCTGGACGTGGACAAAGACATAACTACTCCTAAACATCATATCGTATATGTTGGATTGTCCGCTCCAGAGACACTGGACATCGCTGCACTGCTGCGGACCCAGAGCTTCTGGACGTGGACATAGACATAACTACTCCTAAACACCATATCATATATGTTGGATTGTCCGCTCCAGAGACACTGGACATCGCTGCACTGTTGCGGACCCAATGCTTCTGGATGTGGACATAGACATAACTACTCCTAAACACCATATCATATATGTTGGATTGTCCGCTCCAGAGACACTGGACATCGCTGCACTGCTGCGGACCCAGAGCTTCTGGACGTGGACATAGACATAACTACTCCTAAACACCATATCATATATGTCGGATTGTCCGCTCCAGAGACACTGGACATGGCTGCACTGCTGCGGACCCAGAGCTTCTGGACGTGGACATAGACATAACTACTCCTAAACATCATATCGTATATGTTGGATTGTCCGCTCCAGAGACACTGGACATCGCTGCACTGCTGCGGACCCAGAGCTTCTGGACGTGGACATAGACATAACTACTCCTAAACACCATATCATATATGTTGGATTGTCCGCTCCAGAGACACTGGACATCGCTGCACTGTTGCGGACCCAATGCTTCTGGATGTGGACATAGACATAACTACTCCTAAACACCATATCATATATGTTGGATTGTCCGCTCCAGAGACACTGGATATCGCTGCACTGCTGCGGACCCAGTGCTTCTGGACGTGGACATAGATATACATGAATTGAATGAATATAAACTGCAATTCTCTGACATAGTTTATAATTTGTTTATTAACATAATGTGGATAAATATCCGAATTAAATTAATAAAGAAAGTAAAAAAATATAAGGACAGAAACGAATACAGTCCACATTTGTCAAAATATCTGAGCTGCATTCTTAAAATTTTTACAAATATAAAATGTAATTACTGCCCTGCAAAACTCTTGTCGAGGTTTATCCTGGGTTATTATTATGACGGCCTCGGTGGTCTAGCGGCCTAGTACACCGCCTTACTCTCGATGGTCGCGGGTTTGATTCCTCGCACGGTACAAACATTTGTATTCATGAGTATGATTGTTTGTATCGGTCTGGGTGTTTGCTATGTATAATATGTATGTATTTAAGAAAAAATATCTATGTATTTGTAACAGTTATCTAGTACCCATAACACAAACTTTAGCTAGCTTGGGTCTAGATGGCGCCGTGTGAGTTGTCTTGAAATATTATTAATAGTTGTACTTTCTGTCCGTTGCCAGCGGGGTGGCGTGCGAAGGTGCGTTCGTGCTGACAGCGTCTGGTCTGGCGGCTGCGCTGACGCCCCCGCAGGGCTCCGCTGACGGCGCGCGAGCCACCGTCGCCTCCGAGTCCCTCAGAGGGCGCCACCACATCATCTGCGCTGACATCGCTCACAAGAGTATGTACACCATACACAATCATGTACTAATAATACCGACGACCTCGGTAGTCTAGCGGTCTAGCATACCGCTTTACGTCCGATGGTCGCGGGTTCGATTCTTCGCACGGCACAAACATTTGTATTCATGAGTATGATTGTTTGTATCGGTCTAGATTTTTTATGTATATTATGTATATATTTCCGAAAAAAAAAAATTATGTATTTGTATCAGTTGTCTAGTACCCATAACAACGGCTTTAGTTAGCTTAACTTGGGTCTAGATGGCGCTGTGTGAATTGTCCTGAGATTATTATTATGATACTAGCTAATTTTGCATTAAGCATGTAGTAAAACGTCAGATCACTCTCGAACTGATTTTATTAATGAGTTAATTCTATATACTAAAGCAACAGAAACCAAACAAATTAATATTATAAAATTATTACTACAAAGCATTTGCCTTATAAACTAAAATCGATATTGAAAATAGAAAGAAAGAAAGAAAGAAAATTGTTTATTTGGTACACTGAAAATAATTTTTAAAATTTAATTTACATTTTATATTAATAATTAGAGTACCAACTAGGTCTCCGCTCAGCATATGTCGTGACGGGGTGCCACGACGCTGGTATTCAGCGGATACCTTCATATATAATAAATATAATAAAATAATAATAATAATACACATACATACATAAATCCAGGCGGACAACACAAAGCAAACATTTACGACATACTACCATATATAAATAAACATCAAACATAAACTACACACTGAAAACATAAAATAAACATAAATTCTGGTGACACTAGTACTACCTCGCATTACCCCGCTTTTGGAGTGCAGACACATCACGGCACAGTTTTCTGAGTGAGGAGGAGTATTTTTTTTAATTTATTTTTAAAAATCTGTACAGTTGCAAAAAAAATCTGCAAATAGGGGTTGCTGATAGAAGGGTGAACATTTAGGTAGGTTTTGTATGTATTATATATTATTTAATGCCACATTATAGTTGTCAATATAGGACTGTATATATATGGGGCTGGTAGATATAATTATGCAAACACGGGTTTTAAGAAGCAATAATATAATATTATGTACAAAAGTATAATCATTAGCAGAACAAATGACAATGTCATATATATTTTTCTATATAAAATAATAGACAAAATACATAAATAATATACAAAGAGGTGCGTCCTGCACAATAGTAAAAAAAAATTAAGTGATACTCGGGGACTGGCGAGTAAAGCTATTGCATAGCATTTTTTCACAACTTATGCAATTATAATTATCTATTTATGTTATTTATGCATTTTTTTTATATTAATTCAAGTACACTTTTCTCAAAAGCAACACACAAGTTTCTTGCTCATTCTTCTTGTGATAAATCTGCATTCCGAATGAGTGGTGGAATAAAAATATGACTATTCAAAAGTGCTTGTAATGAGTTTATTTGAATAAAGATTATTTCTATTTCTATTTTTGAGAGTGGTGAACGATGAAAAAACAATCCCATCAAAAACATATATGTGAAATGATAGTCGAGTACAATATTATGATATATACCTTGATTGTTGACTTCGACGACAAAAGAAGTGAGATCTAAATGAGTGCCAAGTTCAATGGTCTGTCCTGAAATGTATTTATAACAATATATAATATCATTTATTCCTTTATATTCACCTAATTACCTATGTGCATGCCAAATTTGAACTTCCTAGGTTATCTGGAAGTGGGTTATAATTTTGATCTATAGTTGATCAGGGATAAAAATGACGATATTTGGACGTTAATATCTAAATAACCGTTTGAGATATGTTTATGAAATTTGGAACACATATTTATCTCGCAAGTCTCAATATCTGAACCATTTGACAGGTTTATGTGAAAGAGTTTTTGAGTTATGAGGGGGTCAAAAGTGGCTCTAAATGGTTCGTGTAAATATACACACGGTGCTGCTCGCCAGTTCTCTTACTTGAAACTCGGCTTGACACGCTACCGCGTGTCTAGATTTATTGTACAGTAATTAAATAATATACTTTCTCACAAACAGCTGCTTACGTATTCGTCCGATTTCGGAACAGCTCGGCTCGTCTCGATCCGTGCGAGCTTCGTACAGTATGCTAGTCGCATACACCGTGCCGAAGTTTGCCGAACTGAGACGATGTTAGACGATGCAAATCCATCCGTCCATACACACTACTTTTCGTGTTTATAATCATCATCATCATCATCGTCATCGCAGCCCGGAAGACGTCCACTGCTGGACATAGGGCTGTTTATAATATTAGTAAGATATTTGTGTGAGTCATCTGCAAAGATAGAGATCTCTGGCTACCCTTGAAGGCAGCTGGCGTGATGTTATTGAAAAGAAAGAAGAATGAAAATCATAGATTGACGACCTTTATTGATATTAATATATATTTACACATTTGACATAGGTACATTTGACATATATATATATATATATATAAATATAAATAAAATTGGAGTGTCTGTTCGTAATATTGAAATAACCGTTTTTTACTAAAAGCATATGAATATAAATACGGTACATACACCAAAATATCTGATAGATGATGTGATAAGGGGTAACTTAGGTTACTTTTATTTTAGAAAAATAAAGTTAAATTCCTCGCGGACGCAATATATATATTTATTCTAGTTGTCCCGGCAAACGTTGTTTTGTCTTAAAATAAAAAAAAAATTTAGGGGTGGACTACCCCTAACATTTAGGGGGATGAAAAATAGATGTTGGCCGATTCTCAGACCTACTCAATACGCTCACAAAATTTCATGAGAATCGGTCTAGCCGTTTCGGAGGACTATGGGAACCAAAACTGTGACACGAGAATTTTATATATAAGAGATATATATATTTATTTATTTATATATATATATTTATATTTATTTATTTATTTATTAGCATACAAAACTGGATTGTAATCCAACACTATGCATGCCTAATAGCTAAATTATATAGACGCATTCAATATACGCTAGGTAGTAGTATGCACACACACACACATAGATACATATACATACACAAGTAGAACAATTACAAAAAACATCTATAATATTTATATACAAGGGTTGGCAACATGGCTGACACTCGGGATTTGCCATGACAGCTTAACCGTCACGGCGCTGATAGAGATCTCTGGCTACCCTTGAAGGCAGCTGGCGTGATGTTATTGTTGCATGTTTCAGCTGGTAGCGTGGTGGTGGCGGCGGGCGGTCGCGCGGCGGTGCGCGTGTACGTGTGCGCGGTGGCGCGGCCGCCGGGCCGACCCCCCGCGGCCGCCCTCCACGTGCAGCCGCTGCCCACCATCTTCCTGCCCGCGGACCACGCGCCGCCAGGTACTGTTACTCTATTTATAACCTACTAGCTGACCCCGCGAACTCTGAGTACGAGATTCGAGTCAAAATTAAATAAGTCAAAAGTTTTTCGAAGTTTAATTACGCATTTGACAGGTACCAGCTGTTTGTATGGGAAAATAAAATTGTTGTTTTTACTATTTTACATGCAATTTCTTCATATTTTATCACCGTTTAAACCTTCCCTGGACTTCCAAGAATATTTTAAGACTAAAATTAGCCAAATCGATTCAGCCGTTCTCGACTTTTAGCGAGACTAACGGACAGCAATTCATTTTTATATATATACACTTAAAAAAATATCTATACAGATCAACCTTGATATAACAAATCCGAAGAAAACAAGTAAATATTCGTTGAATTGACGCTTGTTATGTTGATATAATGTTATATAGCTTAACTAGCTCCTCGCCGCGGCTTCGCCCGGGTGTACATGTATTATATTATACATATAAACCTTCCTCTAGAATCACTGTATCTATTAAAAAAACCGCTTCAAAATCCATTGCGTAGTTTTAAAGATTTAAGCATGCGGACGAACAGACAGCGATTTTGTTTTATACTATGTAATAATGATTAAGAAATATATTAACAGTCACATAAATATTTAAAATCACTTAAAATTATTAGAAATAGAAATAATGTTTATTCATCATCATTCATCACATATAAACCTTCCTCTAGAATTTATTTAAAAAAACCGCATTAAAATCCGTTGCGTAGATTTAAAGATTTAAGCATACATAGGGACGGACAGACAGCGACAGCGACTTTGTTTTGTACTATGTAATGATAATGAAGCCTTCCTCGACAAATGTACTATTGAATGGACTATATGTAACACAAAAATATTTTTTCAATTCAGTGACTACGGAACATATTATGTTATTAGTTATTATTAATGTAATTTTATTTATTAATGTAATTGTAATTGAATTGAATTTGTATAAATATGAATTACTGTATCTTATGACTTGCCATATATGTAAAGAAGTTTTTTACATTGGTTAATAAACGAAATGTGAAATATGAAAAAAATTCGAACCAGTTGTTCCTGAGATTAGCCCGTTCAAACAAACAAACTCTTTATAATATTTTTTTATATATCGTGAATAGGATGTCTTATGGTTCTCGCGCTACATCCTAGGTCTTGCTATCATTTACCATCAGATGAGGTAAGACCAAGCGCAATCCCATTATTAATAAAATATATATATAGTTACGCCCTTATTTCCATATACTGAAGGTCCATGCCCTTATTTGCAATTTTTTTTTTAATAGTTTCCTTCTATGTATTATTTTTTTTATCGTTTCTTCATATTTTTTCCTCGCCTTTATTACTCCGCGAATAATATGCATTGTGGCTTCCCGCAGTTAATATATATTTTTTTTAATTCTCTTTTTTTTTTTAAGTATAGAGAAGTGTGAGAAATTTCATACTCCATTTCCGCGCAATTTTGGTAAAAATGGGTGTAAAGTTTTTGTTTCAAGTATGAGTATTATTTCAGTGTCGATAACTTGGTGTCTGCGAGAGGACACCGACTCCCTGATGATAGCCAGCAACAAGCTGACGCTGTGGAAGCTGACAGAGCGGTCGCATCCTGTACACAAGCTACTGGCTAAAGGTATATAATTTACTAGCTTTTGCAAATTTATCCCCTTAGGGGTGGAATTTATCAAAATCCTTTCTTAGAGGATGCCTATGTCATAGTAGCTTTATGCATGCAAAATCTCAGCCCGATCGGTTTAAAATAGACAAAGTTTCATACAAATTTTCATGCCCTTGGGGGTAGAATTAATGAAAATCCTTTCTTAGCGGATGCCTACGTCATAACATCTACCTGCATGCCAAATTTCAGCCCGATCCGTCCAGTGGTTTGGGCTGTGCGTTGATAGATCACTACTTCAGTCAGTCACCGGACTGAGACTTTGCATGCATAAAGCTACTATGACGTAGGCATACCCTAAGAAAGGATTTTGATAAATTACACCCCTAAGGGCATAAATTAACGCGAGCGAAGCCGCGGGCAAAAGCTAGTCGGAGATAAAGATCGTTTTGTAAACTTAATTTTGTAATTCTTAGGTCCATTACAAGGCAGCACCACTCCTGGTAGTAATCAGAAGCCGCCATCGGACTGCTTCAATACTGTAGTAAGATACTATTATATAAAATACTTATTTATCTTTATATATATATAGTAGCACACGCAAACGTGCTTGCGGCTCACCTGATGGTAAGTGATTACCGCCGCCCATGAGCACCCGCAACACCAGGGGAATTGCAAGTGCGTTGTCGGCATTTTAGACAAGTTTTTCAAAAGGGTATATTAAGGTTTCTTAAGGGTCGGTAATGCGCATGTGACACCCCTGGTGTTTGAGGCGTCCATAGGCTACGGTAACCATCAGATGATTGTATGCATGTTTGCCACCTATGTGGTATACAAAAAAACAAGGGAACTTTTTGCCATGTACAACCACATTGTGGAATCACCTTCCAGCAATTGTATTTCGGAACCGATACGATATTGAAATCTTCAAGAAAACAGCTTTTCTAGCGTGATGTTACATATTTCGGATATTTCTATAAAAATCTTTTTTGCCATTTAAATAAAAATCTCTATTAAAAATAGGGGTTGATGGTAGAAGTCTGAAAATTTGGGGTTGCATGTATTTTTTAATTATAAAAAACAATTTGTAAAAAATAAAAAATAATTGTTGGGGGTTACAACCCTTATCACTTAGGGGTATGAAAAATAGATAGCAGCCGATTCTCAGATCTACTGAATATGCATATAAAATCTCATAAAAATCGGTCAATCCGTTTCGGAGGAGTATGGTAACTAACATTGTGGCACGAGAACTTTATATAAACAGATATGTTTGTGGGCGGCAGGTGTGGGTGCAGACGGGCGCGTGGCCCGTGGAGGGCGGCGCCGTGCAGGTGTCGTGCGGCCGACCCCCGCCCGCGCTGCTCGCCACCACGCGCGCACTCCACTTGCTGTCTCGGGATTCCCACCATTATGTGAGCATTTATTCGTTTTTTTATATATGACTAGCTGTGCCCGCCATTTCACGCTAAATTTCAATATAAAATATAGCCTATGTGTTATTCTGACGCATAAGCTATATTACTGTAAAGTTGTATCAAAATCCGTTCAGTAGTTTTTGCGTGAAAGAGTAACAAACATCCATACTTACAAACTTTCGAGTTTATAATATTATTAAGATATTAAAATGGTGCAGCGCTAACGGTTTACGCTGGCGGGGCACCAGTGTAGGATGATAAGATGAGCACGAGGTCAGGTCAGTTAGCACATCGTGACAAATTCACCAAGAATTAATTCAAATAAACTCAATACAAGCACTTTTGAATAGTCATATTTTTTTATTGCTATGAATTGAAGTTGTTTTTCTACAAAAACATTATTATCATATACAATCTCTTCAATTGTATATTCAGCTTTTTTAACGAGTCCATAACGGACAAACAAAGTGACACGTAATTTTTATATATAAAGATGTACAGTAAATTATAAGTGATCGTACTGATCTGACTGATATTACAGATATGTTCCCGCCCGGTGGTGACGGTCGGCTCTGGAGAGCCTGCCGGGGCCGCCACACCACCCAAGAAGACCAAGTACGGCGCAGGAATACCTGTAAGTATATTCACATTATGTCTGTTTGTCTGTCAATAGCGACTATGCAACAATTCTACAGTTTGTCTTCATAATTATCGACTCTCAGACACTACTACTATTCTCACTCGCCGTTCACAGGTGTGGTATAGCCTGCATGACGACAGCAGTGTGCGATAGAGACGACATGCTTCTTTCTCTTTCCCACATGTACTACAACAAGGAGCGATAGAGACTATAAAAAAAAAACAGTCTAAAACGCGGATAATTCATCCATACTTATATTATGAATCCGAAAGTTTTCTGTCTGTTCTTTTATTTATTTGTTATCATATCGGATTAAATTGCTCAACGAATTTTAGTGAAATTTGATATGAATATATATAATACTAGCACGAATAGTCCCGGCAAACGTTGTTTTGCCATATAAATTAAATAAAAAAATAGGGGTTGATGATAGAAGAGTGAAAATTTAGGATTGTATGTATTTTTGTATGTGGTATCATAAAAAAATAGAGACTAAAAATTTTATCTAAAAATTAAAAAAAATAATTAGCGGTGGACTACCCCTAACATTTAGGGGGATGAAAAATAGATGTTGGCCGATTCTCAGACCTACTCAATACGCTCACAAAATTTCATCAGAATCGGTCAAGCCGTTTCGGACGATAAAATTACCCTAAGTTACTCCTTACCTTACATCAGCTACCCACCAAAAAGAGTTCCGTCAAAATCAGCCCAGCCATTTCAGAGATTAGTCGGAACAAACAGACAGACAGACAGACGATAATTATAAAAAATGTTATTTTGCTATATGTACCGTATATATATTCATATGCACGTAGTAAAAACCTGTTATTCCAATATTACAAACAGACACTCCAATTTTATTTATATGTATAGATTAGCTGTACACGCGACTTCGTCCTCGTGTAATTGAAACATTATTTTTCTAAAATAAAAGTAGCCTAAGTTATTATTTATTTATTAGTTTATCATTATGTTGGTGATGTCAGGCTGGTGAACCAGCGCTGGTGTCCAGCGTGCAGGTCTCAGTGCTGGGTGGAGTCGCCATCTGCTTGGACTCCCTCGCTCAACTTCATGTCTACAGACTGCCTCAGCCCTGGAGCGACATGCGTATGTATTTAGTAATCATTATTAAAATGCCATTAGGTGTTAAGTCCGCCATATGTACTTTTTACCTGTGTATGACGTGCATTAAAGTTATTTAAAAAAAAAATTCAAATTATCTTTATTCATGTAGGTCTATCACAGACTCTTATGATATGTCAAATCTACCGTCAGTTCGGAATGATTTCGATATGAGAAGAACTGACAAGAAACTCAGCTCGTATTCTTTTCAAATAAATGTTGTACATGTTTACAATAATACAGATTCATTTTTAAATTCAAATTAGGGAGAATAGAGTGACCTCCAGCAACTATTATTATCATTATATAGTATAAGTACCCTCGACTTCGTCCGCGTGGAATTTAACTTTATTTTTCTAAAATAAAAGTAGCCTAAGTTACTCTTTATTACATCACTTACCTACCAAAAAAAGTCCCGTCAAAATAGATCCAGCCATTTTTCTAAAATAAAAAAAATCTAAATAAAAGTAGCCTAAGTTAGTCTTTATTACATCAGTTACCTACCAAAAAAAGTCCCGTCAAAATCGGTCCAGCCATTTCAGAGATTTGCCACAAGAAACGGACAGACAGACAAAAATTGTTAAAAATTATATTTTGGTGTATGTACCGTATTTATATTTAATATTACAAACGGACATTCCAATTTTATTTATATGTATAGATAATATTAGTAAGATTTTTTTTTTTACAGCATCTCCAATGTCGCTGCAGCAGGCCACGTCACTCCTGGAGTATGCCATGGTAGCTGGATACGATTACCTGGATATACTGCTCACACTCAAATCTAACATGATGGAAACAGTTTACGAGAGGTGAGTGCTCCCGTGGTGCTGCTCAACAGCGTCCATTTTTTTTTATTGTGGACTAGCTGTTCCCGCGACTTCGTCCGCGTGGAATTTAAGTTTATTTTTCTAAAATAAAAGTAGCCTAAGTTACTACTTATTACATCAGATACCTGCCAAAAAAGTTCCGTCGAAATCGGTCCAGCCATTTTAAAGATTAGCAGGAACAAATAGACAGACAAACAAAAATGCTAAAAAATGTTATTTTGGTGTATGTACCGTATTTATATTCATGTGCATGTAGTAAAAAACGGTTATTTCAATATTACAAACAGACACTCCAATTTTATTTATATGTGTAGGTTTGGGCTATTGTCAGGTGCTAAGACCTGTAGCACTGCGACCTACATAGATCTATTGTGCTCGCCCTTTTTCAAAGTTCGCTACCTAGACCCGTCAGGGACAAGAATTGAAGGATATTCTTAGGAGCGATGGTTTTTATCTCCTCAGGATAGTGTAAACTTTCCAAAGGAGATATTTCGTTTATGCATGAGTGGGCTACAACCACATAGGATGTGTAGTGGCGTTTCCTCTTCCTAATTCAGTCATATTTTTGTTATTCTACCACTCATTCGAAACGTAGATTCATCAACAGAAGATCACAACTCACATATCGCCTTTTTAAATGTGTTGTTTAGAATGACATTTCTAAGAGTTTTGTGTGTGTTAGGGAAAGTACTGCTACCAAAATGTTAGGGAATTTACTATGTATATATATAGGGAAAAATATGTGTGGAAACGTCTGTCACGTACCTGTATGGTTCCGCGGATTTCTTGGGCTTCAGGGTCTCGAAGATATCTTCGCTAGCTTTCCAGTCTCACAGTAGGTTTCACAGTAGGTTTAACAGTAGGTTTAACACAGTTCTAATTTATTTTAATTCACAACACAATGCGCGCACGCGTCAAGGCCGCTGTACGGTCAGTTCAGTACTAGGTAAGGGAAGGGAAGTGAAAGCGCGGGAACAGAAAACTAACGGACTCTAATATAATAATCTGTGCTTACGATGATACAGGGTAGATTTTGAACAGTGTGAATATAAAATAGATTTCCGTGATAATAAATCAGTTACAGTGACCAGAGTAGATCAGTCCCTACAATCACTAGTTCACGAGTATGACGTGTAAATATTTATTCAATGAACACTTTCTGTTGCAGATTGACGGAGTCGTTCCAGAGATATCCGCAGCATTTCCAACAATATTACTATCATAGTTGGCTGAAAGTGAGAACTGCTTTGTGCAGGTGAGTAATGTATGACGACCCTTACGCTTATGATACGCTATGATACCCTTTCGCTTTCGACATTATGGAGGGCACAATAGGTCGCCCTAACGAATGATATTTTCCCTGAAATGTTGTACAGAATAGAATAGAATAATATTTATTACAATCACACATCACAACACAACAATGACGATGCTCACAGCAGCATATAAATTATTATAACATATAAATAGAAATAATAAATACAATACAAATCATTAAGAGAAAAAAAAGCGAACAAGAAAATGAAAGAAAAAAGAATTAAAAAAAATATAAACACATATACCAAAAACAATAATAACAAAGCAAATAAATGCGTATCCACCACTGCGGAGCATCATCACCGGTACGTCACGTCACGTACAGCACCGTCTTTTATTTATTTATTTATACTCTTTATTGTAAATAAACTAGCTTTAAAAAAAAAAGTAATTCAATTGAGTTTCTTGCCAGTTCTTCTCAATTGGATCTATATACCGAACTGGACGGTAGGGAAAAAATAAAATTATAATGTAAAAATTTGACATTCATAAGCGGCTAAAATGTCCTACATGAATAAATGATTTTTGAATTTGAATTTGAATTGCATCAATTATAGAATAAAAGAATATATATACATGATACAAAAGGCGGTCTTATCGTTAAACAATCTTTTCCAGACTATCTTTGCATGCATAGAGAAATAAAAATAAAAAATTGACAAATTGTATATCAGTCTTTTAAGCGACAGAATATTTTTTGTAACATTACAGTCCTCCCATTGAAGATCTCGTATTGGCTATACATATCTGCAGTTTGGCGAGTCATTCAATAATGACAGTTATATATCTTGGTCCTTCGAGCCGGATATTTTAAAAGCTATTATATCTTTTAAAAATCCGGCTCGAAGGACCAAGAACAATATGTATTTCCATGTGAGCGTTCAGATGGGATAGATATGTGTTGGGTTGTGAGTGTATTGAACGGTGGGGGTGCGGTGCAGGTCGGTGGCGGGGTGGCAGTGCGGCGCGGCGTGGCTGGCCAGCGCGGGGTGGGTGGCGGCCGCGGGCGCCGCCGCCGCCGCGGCCGCCCCCCGCGACGACCGCGCCGACCGCGCCGACCGCGCCGACCTCCCCGACCACGCGCTCGCCGCGCTCCTCGACGACTCGCCCGACGCAGACAAGGTCACCACAACACTTAATAACGTCCCGAGATAGCGCCATCTATGCTTTTAATCCCGGAGACTAAATCGACAAGTGTAAATATGGTTCTGGAGGCTGTACTTCCGGAGATATAGGGTTCCAAAAGGGTCTCTGGGGACGCGAGTCGTGCGCTTTGACATGCTCTCCTCTGGCGCCTGATGACTCCCAAAGTTTTCGAAAGGAAAGCAAAGGCTTCCAGAACCGAACTTAAACACGATTCTAATCATTTTGACCTCGGTGGTTTAGTTTAACACACCGCTTTACCTCCGATGGTCGCGGGTTCGATTCCTCGCACGGTACAACGTTTGTATTCATGAGTATGATTGTTTGTGTCGATCTGGATGTATACTATATATAATATGTACATATTTACGAAAAAAAGAATATCTATGTATTTATATCAGTTCTCTAGTACCATAACACAAGCTTTAGCTAACTCAACTTGAATCTAGATGGCGCTGTGTGAATTAAAAAATAAAAAGAAATTTAATATAAGCACAATAGTCATATTTTTTGTCTCTATCACTCATTTAAGAACGTAGACTCATCACAAGAATGAGCAAGAAACTTGTGTGTTGCTCTTTGAAATAAATTTACATTAACAAGGATTAGGCATGCTACAATCAACATATAAACCGCTACGTACTCAATCTTTGTTCATTCAAATCATCTAATGTAAGTTACTTAAATAATATTCTATGGAACATGGGACGGATGGTAGTATGGGATGCAACCTGTTCAGACACGCTGGCTCCTTCCCATCTACATGGAACCAACAACAGAGCTGATGCAACTTGTGAAGTGACCGTAAAAGCTAAAGCAGGCAAATACAGGGATCTAGACTCCAAATATGATTTTGTCCCATTCATAGTCAAGACCCTTGGTCCGTAGGGTCCTAGCGCTATATATATAGATGAATTTATAGATGATAGCAATATATAGCAAGAATAAGTTTATTTGCGGACAACGTTATAATTTATTTTTCATACTGCTTTCTTGATATATGATAGCGTAGCGGCTTTTGTATTGATTGCCGCATGCATCCTTATGTAAAGTGCGAATACTGTAACTACCATATAGTAATTTTTGTAGCTGTGACGTGGTCGTGTGGAATGAGTAGTCATGCTCACTAAAATGTCCAGACATGTGGCGGCGTGGTGGGCCGGGTCAATGGGCTCCCTAAAATATGGTCGAGCGCAGTGATGGCTGGCTCATCCGTCATACTCGTGAACGAGTGCTGCTTGTAGGGACTGGTCTGCTCTTATCACTACGACTGATTTAATCTTATTGCATGATTATATTTGAGCCTAAATAAATTAGTGCTGGTTGGTAGTTTGTATTCACACGTTTCGACTTGTAAATGTAAACTTACAAGGATTATTTAAAAGAGCAACACACAAGTTTCTTGCTCGTTCTTCTTGTGATGAGACAGCTTTCCGAACGAGTGGTAGATAAAAAACAAATTGTTATGACTATTCAAAAGTGCTTAAATTAAGTTTATTTGAATAAATGATTTTCTATTCTATTTTATAAGGCTTTTTAAGGAAATAGCAAAAAGGTTGGTCGACATCACAGAAGACCGAAGAGCTGGCAGCTACCTCGGACAAAGAATTAGTCTAGCCATTCAAAGAGGGAACGCTTCCAGCATCTTCAAATATTAAGTTGTTTCACAGATATTGTTAAGTCTGGAAGCGAAGACAGAAGTCTGTAGCGAAGCGTTGTCGCTTCAAGCGCTGCGACGTCCGCTGCAGCGCGCGCTGGATGTAGCGCTAACAGTGCTAGCTGCACTCCCACACCATCACCATGGTCATACGCACGGGTAAGATTATTTTTTTTGACACGTAACGTTCTATACATATATATAAGTAATGTAATATAACAATATATAAATAAAAAAGAGCAAGCACTGTCGAAACTTAAACTAAACAATTAATTAATTATTACAAAACTTGTTTATAGGATATAAATCTTAGTATAATCTAAATACAGTGGACCCCCGGTAGTCCGACAATCATTTTGCAGGGCAGTGTCGGACTATCGAATTTGTCGGATTATAGAGTACTGCCTAAGACCCCTTATAGTCGGAATTTTTTTACAAAAGAGTACCTTGTAATCCGACAAATTATAGATCCAGTGATAAGATTCTATGTTATATATGTATGTATGTATATGCACTCTGAAGTATATTGTCAAAGTAATATTTAATAACAAATAATAGACAATGTCGGATTACAAGGGGGGCCGGATTAGACAGGGGCCGGATTACCGCGGGGCAACTGTAAGTTGTTTTTTTTTGTTTTTAATTTTGTTCATGTCCTTTATATATTGGTGCAATAAAGTGTTATAATTATAATTAATTAATTATACAGTCTGTTGAGTTTGTATATGGTGGGTATGTGAGTAAAAATATATATATGTGAGTGCTTATGTTGATGTGTTCAATTAAAAAGTCGTGCAATAGAATGATCTCAATAAAATAATTAGTAGTTTAAGTACAGACTTACAGACTCTAAACTCATTCGCTCGAACACTAATTAGACTTTTTGCTTTTGCAATAGCATATGCTGGTGTATTAATTTTTAGGTTTTATTCCTTATAAATTTTATTTTATTTTAATTGCGCCTGCGCTAAGTATACGCTGGCGGGGCACCAGTGGAACATGAGGTCAGGTCAGTTAGCACATCGTGGTAAATTCGCCATCAATTTATCACGATGGTTTCCAGGGTCCACGTGGAGGTCAACCTGTCATGGTACATTGCTAGCTATAGGGTTATGAGTCCACATTATTAACAATCCGCTTCCGCTCATGTTTGTGACCAGGTACGATATAATAACGGATCCATCTGCTATAACCCTGCTCCGCAAGCTGGTGGTGGTGGTCCGCGCCAGTGGCCGCGGGGGCGAAGCCCTAAGTCGGCCGCTCTCCCGACTCGCCTCCGGGACGCAACTCAAACAGGATCTCATTGGTAAAGTTTCCTAATTCGATTGTCTATTCTAATATTATAAGGGAAAGGATTTTTAGAGATTATTTTTATTCTTTACTGTTGGGTAAAAAGGGAAACTAAGGACAAACCTGGTTCGAGGCGTCCCCGCGTGTAGATCTTATATACACGTAGCTGTTTCACTTTAAAAACGCACCACACTACGATGATTTGCACTGATAAAATCATTGCGCGGAGATCGCGGCTGATGGTTCCGTGTATGTTGGTTCGCGGAGAAAATGCGGATGTGCGTGTGCTCAATGCGACGTACAACGAACGACTGGTTTTGTTGATGCTACCCCCAGATTTGGTGGATAAAAATAGGAATAAGATGTAGGGTAGTAACATATTGCAGATTGGTAAGAAATAGATTTATATCAACCACTTTACTATAGTCTATTTTTTATATATAGTGGTAATATCTCCCATACTAAATTGGCAGGTACAAATGTCAAATTTTCAAATAATGTTACCACCTATAGCGGGGTAGTGGTGTACCTGCGATACCGATTTGTTTAATCGGAAACTTTTATTTTATCATATCAGTTTTAAAGATTTAAATGACATTTCCAGAAAAGATTTTCAAAATTTGCATACATATACTAGTGTTTCCATTACTTTCGTTGTATTATACAACATAAAAATATATTTTTGTGGTTTACATACAAATTTTAATTTTTACAGTATTAAGCTACAAACCATTCAGTTTTTTTTTTCAAACAGCTAAATATTTTAAACAAGGTAGTAGTGTAGTGTAGTCTTTATTATAGTGAAAAATAAAAAATCTATTCTGATACAACAACCATAATATTTATTAATACTTATACTTTATTAGTTTTGTGTTTGTGTGTTTTATATAAACACTCACATATTATTTCTGAGTAACCTATAAAAATGGGTAATTAATATTAATTTCCGATACTGCCACAACCCTATTTAAAAATGCAAAACATTTCCAGGTTTTTGCATTTTTTAAATAGTTGTCATGTGTTGCCACATATATAATGTGAAATTTGTCTCTGGGATTAAAAAACAGACTATAGCTGTGCCTGCGACTATGTCCGCGTGAATAGTGTCCTTGACAAAATAAAGAGAAACTATTTAATAATCTAACTGTCTTAATTATGTATATATAGAGGAGTGTGCAGCGTTGGCAGCGCAGATTCCGTCTCCACGGGTGTGGGAGTCACTCCCGAGGTGTACAGTGTCTGCACCTCATCTCCGACCCTGGCCTTTCTATGTAAGTATTTCATCACTGATTTGATTTGTCTCTAACATGACATAATTTTTTTTTAGTGAATGTTGTTTGTGAATGATTATTCCGAAGACCTAAGTTTTTATTTGGCATTTTAAATATCACTCTTATATGGTATTGTTTAGTTTGACTAAAGGACAATGTATAGCATCTTTTAGCCAATAATGTGTGAGATTTCTAAACATCTTACTTTAATGAGACGCTTGTCGAAAGAAATTAGTTGGAGAGATAAAGTAATACAAAGGTAAGTTAATTATTCACCAATTACTAATACTAGATAATTGAGGTACAAAAAAAAATTACGAATAGCAAAACTTTTGGTAGAAACATACAAACAATTGAAATAATATATTTCACAACTCAAAATACAATAGAATGCGTGAATTTATTTATAACTATTATGAGAAAACATGTGTTATAGTAGATACCTAGCAAGTATTACGACACATCCTCAACGGCGATCGGATCGGACCACCAAGCATGACGCAAGAAGGTGCGCTACCGAGAAAACCACCTGCGTCGAATCAGCATTTTAGTCCCCACAGCAATAATACCCATTTCCCTGATTTTTAATTTTATATAATTGCACTTACGGATCACACATCGATCCGAAGACACCTATATAATTGTAATAATTAATTTTTAGAATTAAATTTAGTTTACTTATAAAAATTGGTTTTTTTTGGGTCTTCCGCCAGCGACTTCAATAACTGGCGCAGTCGGTAGGATACTCGAGACGTATCGAGAATAGAAATAGGGTATATCTCACATCGATTACCGTGTCGTCTATGATCGCTATCGTCGTCGCGAGCGATTCGCGTCCACGAGTATCCAGAAAGAAGAACCTGAAGTTTCCTGGCTGGAAGAGAAATCAAGACATCGATCCTAGAACTACCAATATGCAGCGCATGTGAGTACACTATACATTTTTCCTGTAAAGTTGCTCTCAAGGTGTAAAATTTAGTGAATAGTTATATAGTTTAGTTGCAACCATTTTCCACCCTAGGAAAATCACCCCTAGAGGGCCTGCGCGCGATAGACTATCCCGTAGGCTCAATTTAGATAGAAATAGAGATTTAACTTTAGAATCAGTGTCCGAGGAGTCGGAATATAGTAATATGGGTGACGTAGATAATATTCTGAAGGCCATGCGCCTAGTACCAGAATTTGATGGTAATCCTCACGTCTTACCTAGATTTATCCGTCTTTGTGACCAATTTGTTAATGAGTATTGTATTAAGGAAAATCCTGGCAACGAGTTTGTTAATTTATGTATTGTAAATGCTATTTTAAATAAAATAACTGGACCAGCCGCGCGCATAGTAAATTCTAACGGATTATCTGAGAATTGGGATAGCATTAAAAAAGATTTAATTAATAATTTTTCGGATCAAAGAGACGAGACCGCTCTTTACAATGATCTTATGTTAGCTACACAAGGAAATAGGTCTCCACAGGAATTTTATGACCATTGCGTTAACATGTTCAGCACTATAATGACTTATGTGACTTTGCACGAAACTATTAGCACTACTGTCGAGGCGAAACGTATTTTATATAGGAAACTAACTAAAGATGCATTTGTTCGAGGCTTAAAAGAGCCATTAGGTTCTAGAATACGTTGCATGCGTCCTGATAATGTCGAGAAAGCTCTCGAGTTTGTACAAGAGGAATTGAACGTCATTTATTTGCAAGGCCGTAATGAAAATAATGATAAAAAGGCACATATGCATAATCCACTACCTAAACCGTCTTCTTTGGCCTTACCATCTAGTACTATGCCTATTTATAAGCCGATCAATTCCTTAGTACGACCACCTCTTTTGCATCAGTGGCAATCACCGCCCATGCAACAACCATGGAAAGCTAGTTATCCGCCTAACCAGCCTGTACAATACAGACCTCCAGGTATACCTTCACGCACACAGCAGATATTTAGGTCAACACCCCCAAATTATAACCCTCAATTTAATAAATTTCAATTACCTTCAAGGCAAGCTCCGCAAACTCAAGGGCCTAAACCCATGAGTGGTGTAAGCCATTATGTCGCTAGGGAAAGACCTATACAGGGTCAATTAACTGGACATGATTGGCATAGACATGGAAATCCGCCTCCATCGAACTATTTTAAGACTAGGGATATGAATATGAATGAATGTTCTGACTATAATTATAATGATTATTATTACTATACCGATTTTTCTCCATACTACGATTATGATAACTATTATTTCGAACATAATTATGATTTAGAAAATAAGACGGATTACTTTAATTATAACGACCAAGATTTTAATAACTTGAATGAGGATCATACTTACCCTGCGGATCCTCAACCTTCAACAAGTTCTATTGAGGAGCAGGATTTTCCCAAGCGGGGGAAATCAGAAAAATCAAAATAGAAATTAATATGCACACTCAAAGGCAATTACCATTTATACAAATTTCAAATCCACCTATGAAATTCCTTATAGACACTGGAGCGAATCAATCATTCATATCTCCAGAAGCTGTAGACCGATTTTTCTATAATGTTCACTTAAACTATGAACCGTTTGAAGTAACGAATGCCCATACTACGTCTAGACATAATTATTCTATTACTATTCCTTACTTTAAAGAGTTTAGGGAGCCAGATGGAATGAAATTATTCATTTATAAATTTCACAAAACTTTTGATGGTTTAATTGGATATGATTTACTGGAACAACTAGAATCAAATATTGATCTTAAAAATAAATTACTTAAAACCCGTAATAGTAGTATCCCCATTAATTTATATAATTCTTGTAACGTTAATTTATACGAGGATGTTATTCCTGCTTATTCAAAGAAATTGCTAAGACTTCCAATTAATTTACAAGACGGTGAAGCTTTTATTAAGCAACAATTTTTTTCTAATTGTATCGTTAGTGACTGTGTAACTATAGTAAAAAATAGTCGCGGATTTGTTGAAATTGCAAACCCAACAAATCATGATATAATATTTTCCATGGATCGTGCTATTCAAGCTGAAACATATAACATGGAATCATTCCGTACTAAGCAGTTACCCTCGCGAGTACAAGAAGTCCTCTCACGACTACGCACAGATCATTTAAATCCGGAGGAACGCGCTAACTTAGAAACATTATGTACTAAATATGCGGATGTGTTTTATATTGACGGAGAATCATTAACTTTTACGAATAAAGTTAAACATAAAATTAGGACTACGGACGAAATACCAGTGCACGGAAAGAATTACCGGTACCCATACGTACATAGGGATGAAGTTAGAGATCAGATAGGCAAGATGTTAGATCAGGGTATTATCCAACCATCAGAATCTGCATGGAGCTCACCTATTTGGGTCGTACCCAAAAAGGCTGACGCTTCGGGTAAAACTAAATGGCGATTAGTAGTAGACTTCAGAAAATTAAACGAAAAAACATATGACGATAAGTACCCTATTCCTAATATTACAGATGTTCTAGATAAACTCGGAAACTGTCAATACTTCTCTACTTTAGATCTTGCCAGTGGGTTTTATCAGGTCGAGATGGAACCCAGTGATATTGCTAAAACAGCATTCAACGTTGAGAACGGACATTATGAATTTTTACGCATGCCCATGGGTTTAAAAAATTCCCCATCTACTTTCCAACGGGTAATGGACAATGTTCTTAAGGACCTTCAAAACGTTGTATGCTTAGTATATTTAGACGATATCATTGTGTTCAGCACCTCTCTCCAGGAACACATGATCAATCTTGAGAAGGTATTTCAAAAACTACGAGAATCGAATTTTAAAATCCAGATGGATAAATCCGAATTTCTCAAGCTTGAAACCGCTTACTTAGGGCATATAATCACCAAGGATGGAATTAAACCAAACCCTGACAAAATTACAGCTATTCAGAACTATCCTCTTCCAAAAACACCGAAAGAAATCAAACAATTTCTTGGTTTGGTTGGATATTACAGAAAGTTTATTCCCGATTTCGCTACTATTACTAAACCATTAACGACATGTCTGAAAAAAGGTAGGAAGGTAACAGTTAATTCAGAATATGTTAGTTGTTTCGAGAAGTGTAAAACTCTCTTAACTAACGATCCGATTTTACAGTACCCGGATTTTGCAAGAGACTTCATTTTAACGACTGATGCATCTAATGTAGCTTTAGGCGCGATATTGTCCCAGGGTACATTAGGTTCAGACAAACCCATTTGCTTTGCATCGCGTACCCTTAATGACAGTGAAGCCAACTATAGTACGATTGAAAAGGAGCTTCTTGCTATTGTCTGGGCGACTAAATATTTTAGGCCGTATCTATTTGGTCGTAAATTCAAAATTGTCACGGACCATAAACCCCTCCAATGGGTAATGAGTTTGAAGGAACCGAACTCGAGAATAATTCGTTGGAAGCTAAAATTATCCGAGTTCGATTTTTCAGTAGTTTACAAAAAGGGGCGAAATAATACTAACGCCGACGCCCTTTCTCGTATTGAAATTCACAACGAGGAAGCTAATTCACTGGTTGTCAACCCATCTGAACGCCCTCTTTCAAATTCATCCACTCTATCCGCTCATACTAGTAGAGAAAACCCAATATTAGAGATTCCAATAGTTGACCAACCACTGAATAAATTTCATAGACAGCTCGTTATTACCGTAGTTAGTGACATCAGAAAGCGTGCTACCACATCAAAGCCTTTTGAAACACACACAAGGATATCTGCTCAAGTATCCGAGACAAATTTAGAAAGCGATATCGTAGAAATTATGAAAGAATATGTTAATCCTAAAATTAAGACCGCACTATTCATTAACCCACGTTTAGCAATGTATGATATAGTACCAATTATTCAAAATAAGTTTAAAAGCTCTGCGATGCAACTTGTATTGACTACGTCTGAAGTTGAGAATGTAAAAGAATATTTAAGACAACAGGATATAATTAAAAACTATCATGAAGGGAAAACTAATCACCGCGGCATTAATGAATGCTACTTAGCTCTATCAAGACGTTACTACTGGCCTAAAATGAAGGACCAAGTAACAAAAATAATTAATGATTGTGCCATTTGTGGTCAAGCCAAATACGATCGCAATCCTATACGACCACAATTCCGTATAGTTCCACCTGCTACAAAGCCCTTTGAAGTAGTACATATAGACCTATTCACCATACATCATGAAAAATATTTAACTATCGTAGATGTGTTTTCTAAATATGCACAGGCATACCACATACGGGATAGCACAGCTATTAGTATATTACAAGCCCTTTTAAAATTCTGCACACACCATGGTCTACCGTTATCGATAGTATCTGATAACGGCACAGAATTTACAAATATGTTATTTAATGAATTTACTGTTTTGCATAAAATAAATCATCATAAGATTTTACCGCATTCCCCAAATGATAATGGAATAGTAGAGAGATTCCATAGTACTTTATTAGAACATTTACGTATCCTCAAATTAAAACATAACGATGAGGACGTAGTTAATCTAGTTCCGTATGCTATTTTAGCCTATAATAGTTCGATACATTCTTTTACAAAATGCAGACCCTATGATATTATAACAGGCCATTTAGATCCCCGAGATCCTCTCGACATGGATATAAGTAGGCACCTATTTCAACAGTATATACAAAATCATAGAGAAAGAATGCAGTTAGTTTACGACACAATAGGAGAGGCATCGCTGGAAAGCCGCACCCGTATAATGGAAAATCGTAATAAAAATAGAGAGCCAGAATTTGAATATCAACCTCAACAAACTGTATATATTAGTAACCCATTAGCTAGCCGTCAGAAAATAGCCCCTAGATATAGTCAGGATACAGTTCTTGCCGATCTTCCTATACATATATATACCTCAAAGAAAAAGGGACCCGTCGCAAAACGCAGATTAAAGAGAACCCCTAAAAGTGCCCAATTGTTACAGGGTGCTTCTGATCCTGGTTGCTCCTTTGATAACTCCTCAAGAGATCAATCAGGAGATAACACTTGAGAGTCTCGATGATGGTCCTGGACTGCTACCATTCCGACTTGGAACAACAAGGCTTATAACCCATTACCATACCTTTCTACAGCACGTACAATTAGATAATATTAGTAATACGTTAGAATTAGTACAGAACCAGCTATTAGATTATAAAATTATGTTAACCAATGATACATACATACTATACGAACTTCAAATAGAATATTTATCTAATAAATTATGTAAGGTTAAAGATCAGTTAGATACATTACAGCCAAAGCGTGTACGGAGAGGTCTCGTCGATGGTATAGGCTCTATAATAAAAAGTATCACGGGAAACCTAGATCAATCTGACGCTATTAAGTATGACAATGCTATCAAAATTCTCCAAAGTAATGACATAAAAGTAAATCATGAGCTTGAAAGTCATATCAGCCTCAGTAAGGAGTGGATGGCTCAACATACGGATATAGTTAATAAATTAGTTGAAAATCAGGTAAAAATTAACGAGACTTTGCAGCTGTTATACGATAACGATGCTCACTCAGATAACGACCTAATAAAATACGCTAAATTCGCTCAATACTTAGCAATTATAACTGAAAATATAGACGACGTATTAAATGAACTATTTAGAATCGAAAATATATTAGCTTTCATTCGCGCTTCTTCTATGCATCATTCTATGATTAAAATCGATACTTTAAACAAAATGGTCCAGAAGTTAGTTAAGATTTATGGTAAGGATAGAATATTAAACTTAGAACTTAGGGTATACTACGATATAATTAAGCCAGGTTTCTATTATTCAGATAATCAGATAGTTATTAGTTTTAAAATACCCATATTTTCCTCAGATAGTTACGATTTATACAAGTTGTCTGTAGCTCCCAATAAATATAAGCAGGTCCTCATTCCTCCTTATCCATTGATTGCAACTAACAGGAAAGGTTATGTGTATATAGAGGCAGAATGCCCGAAGTATGAAAATTGGTATGTCTGCGGAGATAAGATGGATCATCAACTTCGACAGCATCCTGACTGCATACAGAATCTTATATTCAAGCAATCTATCGACCCAGTCTGCGAAGTAGCAACAGTTAACCTATCTAAAGTGGCTATGGAAGAGCTAGATGAGAGACACTATATAATATCATTCCCCAATGCTACTACAATTCATACACTATGTGGAAAAGAAACTTACAGTATTCTGAATGGAAGTTATCTCGCAACAATCCCAGTAAACTGCTTTCTTTATACCCCGGAATTCACCATAACTAACATTAATAATAGAGTGGAAGGACAACCTATGAAGATACTGCAATTCTCCCAGAATATGCAACTCCATGACCATAAAATACCTCATGTAAATCTTAGATCAATAGACCTTACAAGACTTCATGAAATTCAGCACAAGGTGATCTTGCAGCATCCTACACACGAGCAAACCTCAAAATCGTTCCTATTTCATACTACGATTCCACTTTACATCATTATATTGGGCTGTCTTATAATAATTACAGTATGGAAATATAAGACTAATCAAGGTACACCTGAAAAGCTGCCCCCTGAAACTGAAACCCGTACCAGTACCGAGATGCCACAGTCCGCAATATTCTCTCAGCTGAAGCTTCAAAAATAATTGCTAATCTGAACGGGGAGGTGTTATAGTAGATACCTAGCAAGTATTACGACACATCCTCAACGGCGATCGGATCGGACCACCAAGCATGACGCAAGAAGGTGCGCTACCGAGAAAACCACCTGCGTCGAATCAGCATTTTAGTCCCCACAGCAATAATACCCATTTCCCTGATTTTTAATTTTATATAATTGCACTTACGGATCACACATCGATCCGAAGACACCTATATAATTGTAATAATTAATTTTTAGAATTAAATTTAGTTTACTTATAAAAATTGGTTTTTTTTGGGTCTTCCGCCAGCGACTTCAATAACTCATGTTTTATTTAACTAATGCAGGAATGTTTCTTTGTAACAAAACAATAAATAACCTAAACATAATTTATACCTGTTGGTCCACTGGATGTTAGAAATCTAGAATCTGGGACACCATTTTTCACTAAATTTAAATAAATATATATGTATTTATAATTAAATTTTGATTTTAGAAATATTGCCGCGTAAAATTGATTACTTTTCATTTTTTTTAGTATAATTAGTGAAGTAACATTGCTCGATTTAAAAAAAAATATCGATTGTTACTCAAAGATTTTTGTAGCATTTCAGCGCGGAAATACTGCAAGCGTTATGGAAAACCTTTACGTCTGGTAGGACTTGCGACAATTTTAGTTGATAATTTTCTTGTCACTTACATTTTTTTAATCGATTGTTTTATTTTTACAGTTAGAATATGGCGTCGAACCAGAGGCGTTACGCTACACACCTGAACCACCCGCATATGCGCAAGGCGACACTACACCATCGACAAATATGGACTCTATTAGGTTCTTTAATCCATTAATTACAGAAATTAATGATTCTATATATAATATGGTTCTGATAGTCGCGGATAACAATTCGTTACACAGTATAAACATTTCTATTCATGAGTATGATTATTTGTATTGGTCTGAGTATTTTCTATGTATATTATGTGTGTATTTACTATAAAAATATCTGTGTATTTCTTTATGAGTTGTCTGATACCCATAACACAAATTTAGCTTAGTTTGGGTCTAGACGGCGCTGTATTTTGTTCTGGGTTATTATTCTTATACAGATTCGTGCAGATAGTGTTTCTTTATTCATGTAGGTCTATTAGACTTAGTGTTATGTCAACTCCACCGTCATAGTGTAGTGGTGTGAACCCAACAGGTACATGTACCTGGGCGGAGGCAGCCTGGCGGCGCGGTGGCGCGGCTGCAGCCGGTGCGGGGCGCGGGCGCTGTCCGCGGCGCAGCCCGCGCGCCACCCGCTGCAGCGAGCCTACGACGCCCGGTTCTTACCCGCCTGCAGGTCACTACCTACCACTAACAATATAACAGTTCTAGACATATTTACTTCAGCCCGGTTCCCTTACTGAGTAAGCGGGCAGTACTCGAGTTAGTTTACTTATATTTGCCTTTGAATTTTTCCTTTTTTTGTAAATGACTTTCTTTATTCTTCGAGTCGTCATGTGACTCTCGTAATATCTTTCATGCAATGCGTGAAGTACTACAGACTTTCGTATCATAATTATTTTTCTGCCTTATCTCACTTTTTTTACTAAAACTCGACTTAAAAAGCAATCCGTTTGGCGAGAGATAGGTGAGATTGAGGCATTTAGTCTGCCCGAAAACTACTGGTCAATATTTATTATAATGTTTATTTAAATTACTGTTTTGTTTACAGATGCGGTGGAAAATGGACTTTATTCTCTAACGTATAATATAAGGAATAAAGATGTATTTGTATTTTGTAAATAATTAAATAATAATGTTAAGTTAATTCTGCTGTTTTAATTATGTCCTGTATCATAGTTAATATTTTTTTAGTTCTTTTTACAAGTCATTTGCTTACATATATTAATTTTACTTTTTAATGTCGCACATATAATTCCAATTTTATCAAATTATAATTGTTTTTTTCGTAAATTATAAATATTCAGTGTTTTAAACACTGAAATTTGCTATAATTTAGTCTTTCTTGCTGTAATTAACTGCTGAACGCTTTAAATCTACTTTATATTTTGGGTGTACACTGTTTATTAGTTAAGGAAATTCTACAAATTGATAGGATTTGAAACCAAATCGAGAAAGTGATGTACATCACTATTTTAAGGTACAATGTATAGAATTTGACACATGTTTTTAAATCTGTGGTACAACCGGTGATGCCAGTAAATATTATTTTATTACCATAATTTTTTGGTAATGTATGTAAATAAGTGCAATTTTTACGATAAGAATGTAATTCTAGTATTTATATTATGAATATAACGAAGGAAATAGAAATAATATAAACCACAAGACATTTTAATCAAATGTTTAGGATTGTTAAATATCTTTTTAAAAATATAAATAACATAACTTTACAATAAATTTAAAATAGTATTCGTAAATCCCATCAGAGAAATACTTTAGCTAAGTGAAGTCAAGATCAAGTAAGAATCTATGAAAGGGAAATGTGTGAATCATTAATCAATCTACAGTGAAATTCTAGAAAGAACAATGTTTACAGTATTTTTCCAATTACAAAGGTTGCGGTATTATGTTTTAGATTTAGGGTATAAAATTTTATGGTTTGTTTTAAAAGTCATAAATATTTCTTCTGCACTTACATATATAAATTTTAATTTTGGTAATTGATTGTATATGTTATTAAAATGAAATGCGCAGACTGCGCATGCAGGCTGGCAACACTAAATCGTTTAGTTGTGAAGCGTTCGTTCTTACTGCGACTGCGTTGTAATTCTTTTATACCATACACTGTTTCTGTGAAAATTATTTGCAACCACACATTTAGTGCAAATATTTTTTATACTAAATAATTGTAGTTATATAAAATGGCAGATAAAAAAGGTATTTATGCGCTTATTATTATTATTTTCTTTGTTCTTTTACAAGAAAATATTGACATGTGTAACGTCATTGAGGACCTTGATTTGGCTGTTTTTACTTGATATTTCGATGCTTGTAGGTTCCTTTATCTTAACATATATTGAGTAGAACAGAGTAATGCGTGTTTAAATTAATTCATATGCATTATTTTGTTGTTAGATCTGGGAAATCAATATCGGGCGAAAATTCCAAGATGGTTGACCGTCTGAATTGTAGCGTAAATTCTGCACAAAAAATCCGCCCAGTTTTTTTTATTATTCCAATTTGAGGGTTTTATTTTAATAAATATACATTAATATTACAATATACGTGTATTTCAGTCATTAAATACTTGTAATTATAATAAATATATAAATTATTTTATAGTATTGCATTGTTTAGGCGTTACGTTCATTTTTAGTGGATTTACTTGTCTACTTATTAGAACAGCTCGGATATATGATAATCATGCAATAACTCAGTTAAATTTATAACTAAATACTTACTACTACACGTATATTTTAAAGTAGGTCACTGCATATGCGTATTGGAAATATTCATGTACCTACGAGTATAAACATAAATCTTTGGTAATTGGATAGGTTACTGCAATGTACGTAAAATTGTATGAAAATAATGTACAATAACATTATAGTATTATATAATAGGCAACGTCCACAGTGTTGTTTTTTTTCTGCCCATAAAATTGATTTGTCCAGTCATAGATAATTTTTTTAGTGTTAGTTACCAAAAGGAACTTGTATTCTTTTTTTGTTACTACTATAAAACTAAAATAATTATCTATGTACTGCCATTTACTCCTAAATTAAGCAGATTGTACTGTAGAAAACTTACAGCAGATGGTAATACTTAAATACATTGTATGTATATAATATACATAGAAAACACCCAGATCAATAATGATGATCCACAAGTATCATTGTTACAAATGTTTGTAAGAACTGAACCTGTGACCATAGGAAGTAAGTAGGTGCTAAACCACAAATCCATGGATTAATCATGACTATACTCGTAAATTTTTTAAAGCATCTGTGATCTCAAATTTAGATACCCTATGGATTCCTATTGTGATAGATTTTCTAAGTGTATCTATACTATAATTGATTGTGTCATAAACAATATTAAACATCATACATTTAACATTTACATACAACTTTTTTGTATGATAATTTATGCAAATACAGTCAAACAATATAACTTGTGACGACAATATTCTCACATTCAATACGTCATTTGCAGCCTCAATGTTGTTACACGCGTCACTATGCTTACAATTAAACCATAGACAAGAAATTCTGTTTATAAAAAAAAATAGACTCAAACCATAAACTGAATTTCGGAGATAAAATTTTTGAATGGTAAACGGTCTAGACCCATGTGGTCTGGTGAGACCTGATTGGTACCTGATGATAATGTAATTACCCAACCCCCGCCCCCCTCCCAGCCGCCGCGCCCCCTCCACAGGAGCCGCGCCCGCGCCGCCGTCGCCCCGCTGTCGACTAAACACTATCATGTAATGATATCATATAGAATTTTTCTTTTATTTTTTTCTTTTTGGAAACATAGTAAAGAGAGAATATGATATGTGCGTAACGGAGTGTGAACATACGTATGTGTTTATTGGTTCCTTGTAACTATAGTCTGGTGACATGATTGCTTAACTAGGTGTACAAGAGATGGTCTTATGACCATAGAAAGATTGCCGGCCCACTGTGGCTCCGACTGGCAAATGATAGGAACACATGGAAAACGCTGGAGGAGGCCTTTGTGTCTGACTCAGAGACTGATGTGCATGATAACTAATATTTTTTTTATATTTTAAACTTTAAATTAAAAATTTATGTTCCTATAATTTTGTGTCAATTACTTTGAATCTTTGAATTTGAATATGGACTAGATTTTTATAAAAAAGTCTTGGATGAAATGTAGACTATCTGTGTACCAAATTTCATTTAAATTGGTTCAGTAGATTTAGCAAGACAGACAGAGTTACTCTTGCATCTATAATATTAGTAAGAATTAGTCAGCACCATTGTTGAGACATTCCAGCCTACTCTTTGTTGGTTTTTTTTTGTCTGGGCTATTGTCAGGGGCTTGAACCTGTAGCACTGAGACCTACATAGATCTATTGTGCTCGCCCTTATCAAAGTTCGTTACCTAGACCCGTCAGGGACAAGAATAGAAATATATTCTTAGGAGCGATGGTTTTTATCTCCGCAGGATAGAGTGTACACTTTCCAAAGGAGATATTTCGTTTATGCATGAGTGGGCTACAACCAGCCTACTTTACTCTATAGCTACTAATATGGGTGAAATATTTAAAAAGTTTTTTTTTAATCTCTATATGTTAATGCTAAATTCGATTAATTTCTATATGAAATATATTTTATAATAATACGAATAATTCCCAGTTTTCGAAGATAATTCAAATTTCATCATCAGAAGGATGACATCATCAAGTGTCTAAATTTAATTTAAAAATAACAGAATATGTTATGTCTTAAAGCAATCATGTCACCATTTCGTTTCTTCACAAATTCCAGGAGTGTATATGTTTCAAAAATGTATAAACTATTATTAAAAAAATTAATTGTAAAGTACAATGTTATGAACACTTTCTGATAGGACAGTTATTGATATCAAGCTAAATTGTGAGCTGTACAGTAGATGTTTTCTGCTTGAAGATATTTGTATAGTATTTATAATTGTGTCCCTTCAGACTGTTACAAATTTTAATAAACATATACGCTCCATGGATTTCTTAGTTAACACTTTAAAAAAATAAGTTGTCAAAGACTAAAGTACTGTTTATTTAATTATAACGATAAACAAGAAAGCTGTTTTCATACTTAATTAAGAACTGAATAGAGAAATGAACAGGACTTTTTAATAATTATGATTTGGTGTCTTTATGCTACAGTTATTTTTTTTTCTTTACCATAAATATTTAGTTCACAGCTTATTTTTTTTCTGTTATTTTTATAACACATAGTTTTAAGTAATAATAGCGACATGCCGGTTGATTTTTTAATGTCTATGATTCAATGTCGCTATTGTTTTAATGCTAGTATTTATTGCACTTTTTTTTGGACTTTGTGGCAAATTTATTATTTATTGAATGGGATAAATTAAAAATTATAATGTAAATTTTAAAATGTGCTAAACGATTTGCTTCCAAGTCCTTAAGATTCCCTGTTATGACATAACAGGGCTGTCTTATGATTGTTTTATTTTTGTTTTTCTTACATAGTATAAGCTCTTTAGTTTTACTATTAAACAGAAAGAAATTATGCTATATTAAAATTATATTAATTGTTATAATACATTGTGAATTCAATAGCACAATTTCTTTTTTTAATGTCTTGGAGTCTTGAAGAAATTCTTTAAGGTTTCAATCGGCACAGAAATATTTATACCCTATTTTGTGCTGGAATTCCAGGCATCACTTTTTGTTGTTACACGATAAATATTGTTGTTACATAAACAAAAAAAAAAGTTATGCCATTCGTTTGTAAGAATGTGTGTTTGATACTAACATAATCATGAAAACGAAACTGTAAAGGATGTTATTTTTATATAAAATAATTACAGATTCGTTTTTTTATTCTACAAAAAATATTATTCTATTACAATAATATTGTTATATTTTTTGTGGATGTATCCTAAGTTGAGGTGACGGTAAATTGGCACTAGATTATTTGATATTTTGACTGTCGTGCCATTTGTAATTGTTTGTTATATTACACTTATATATATATAAGATTAAACTAATTTTAAGGGTGAATAAAACTATTATATAGTTATATTCAAACTTATATACCACTCTCTTAATTTATTCTAGCCTCGTGACAGAATATTATTCTATGATTTTTCGAAAATATTTGTATATTACTTTATTTTAATGTATTATGCGTAACATATAGACATGGTTGTCAGAATGTATAAAAATAATGTTACTAGTATATTATTAATATTTCAGAAGTCTTTTTCTTTTTTTTTTCTGTACTTATATTTGACACTGCCAACGAAAAAAAATTTATTTAACTAAGTAATAAATCTTTTACGAGTACTTACTGATTATTTAAGTTAATAATATATTTGTAACATTATTCTGACGTGGATGTTTTTTTTTTGATAAAATTAAAAGGGTGGTGAATAAATATATTGTGGATTGAGTCCTAAATTAACAGGAATGACACATTGTTAGTGCGTGTGTGACTAGATTAAGGTAACGGCCATAGACTATCACCATTGACAACTTTTTTTTTTATAAATATATCTATAACTAATGAGGTGATGATCTTGAACCGTTCTATTGTCTATCGCAGCCGATCTGCCACAGACAATAATGCATGCAAATAAGCTTTACATGAAGGACAGGGAAGTATGTCAGTTGCGGGGTTCTAACGTTTATTCTTCGAAATTAAACACGTTTCGTTATTTCTCCCCACTTTTTTCTAGGGTCACGGCTATTTTTTTTTTAATTATATTTAGTTTTCTATCTGTGGCGGTATATATTGAATTTTTTACAGGGATCCTGTTATTAGGTTATCTTACCTACTAATTATTTATTTTTTCTTAAAAATAAACACATGATCTCGAATCTAAACTTTACAGTTATATTGATTTGTTGTTTTTTTTTTAATTGATAGAAAAAAAACAACAAATCTGTATAATTTTGCTTGTCGCAAACGCAATAAGCTTTTTCAATAATGGTCTATAATACATATATATATATATATATATATATATATATATTTGTGTCGGCCAATAAAAAGTATATCATACAATAATTTTGACTGTACGTATGGATACTTTTTATATAGCTGAATAAGTATAATTAATGTGGTAACTTACCAGGATTTTTAACGAAAATAACAATTGTTTTTCATATGACATTTTGCTGTTTTTAGCAGCTGATTCGTTTATTTTGTAGGCACCGCACGTTCGGCATAATTATGCCTCGAATGCTGTTTTTTTTATAACAATATCACTAGTTTTAGTTACGTTAATATTTAGGACGCATGGCCGTTAGTTACGTTAAGTTGTGTAATAGATTTTTTTTGTGTCGTCTCATGATTGCATGTTTCTGTGTCCTTCAGCGCACTCATATCATAATTTTTGAATTTTTCGTTTTACTTTTTACTTTTTTCCACTGCTTTTTTTGCATTTACGCTTTTTAGATTTGAACAGCAAAATAATATGAAAATGTATTTTAACAACGATAATGTATTAACGCCAGGAAATCTTGGTACAATTGTTGAATAGTTAGTTACTTGAATAGTGTATTTATGAATAATGTTTTTTATTATCGAGGAATGTTCACAATGTGTATCCACGCCGCCGGCCGTCTAGTCCAGACGGTCGCGTTTACAATGACTGTGAACTTATAGTCGGTTCTACGTCGATTCCCGTATATAACTATCAAAAAACCCATATATTTACTGTTTACTGTTGACTTACATTAAAATTTAAATAATCGGGACTCGCTAAAGCTGAGCTTAATTTTAATGTTAAATAAAACTGTTGGAACAGTTTAGTTAAAAATATAACTTATTTTTAAAGCTTGAAAAAAAGCGTTCGTTTTAAGTTCACAGTTAAAACTATAAATAATATTAATGTCTTTTTTAAAGGTCCTTTTATCGTGTGATTGTTTTGTTTAAGATTTAAGAAGTGAAATGGTCACACTGCCTTCATTACCACTGCACATGTTTACTAAATACCGTCGAGTGTGTGGAAAAAGTGTTTTTTCATACAGTCGTCGAAAGGCGGTGTGATCATTCGTTGAGGAATGCATTGTAAATAATGTTTGGTAGGCATTCAACACTCAGTGTGTTGAATCTGAAATATAACCTACCAAATAATTGTTAACCAACGATTTATAAAGTAAAAGGAATAATTATAGTTTCCTTTCATATGAATCGGTGGACAGTCACTTGATGAGTTTATCCAAAAATGTTACTTGATTTTCGAGTTGTTCCAAAAATAAAACCGTTATTTTTCAATTTTTTTCTGGTATTTTTCCGGAAAACTCATTTTAGTGGATTTTTAAAAAAATTCTGGTTTTTTTTCCGGAAAACTCATGTTGGTGGCTACACGCAACGCGTTGTATGGGCATCGCTTCTCGTTAACACTGGCGTCAGTGATACACAACGCGGACGAGATCTGAATGTATAAAGCTCGACATTGACCTGAAATAACGTATAAGTTAAACGTATTGCTCTGTTTTAAGCAGTCGCAATATCTGCTTAAAGAACAAGCAGTGTATATTTTTTTTTAGGTTATTTATAAAAAAAAAATTATTAAACCGCGCAATTGCAGGTCAGTTGACAACTTTATTTAAATGCTACCTTTCGTACTAATCGATTCTTATTTCGTCCGCGTATCGGCCGTCAATTATGTCGCCATTGTTTTTTTTTTCTAAAGTCATGAAAGTTCTACTTTTTTTTTTAACGATTATATATTTTTTTAAATGACACTAGAATTTGTCCTGCAAAAATGGTAAACAATGGTGACATCATGTAGCGCGGTCGCACCGCTGCGTCAAGCGTGAATGTTCGGGCTTCGGTTGGGGACAAGCTCGCCCGTCGGGTTTCGCTGGCGTTGACATGGCAGTTCAATTCCCAAACAGCGTATACTGTATAAATATATATTATAGAATCGTTTTAAAATCATTTCAGATATATCTAATAAATATATTACGAAATTTAGAGAGCTTATAGAATGTTAGAGCTTATACAAGCTTATATAGAATGTAAGCTTGTACTGAATATATGCTATTTGGGACGTTTCGACGATGTTTGTAATGATTTCACGTTGATTAGAAATGACAGAGTTTTATAATAAAAAAAAATCGATTTTGTAAAATTAACTATAAATTTTTTTTCAGTCTTTTTTTTACATTTATAATTAAACTCGGTCGTTCCTAAAAGTAACTCGTCGAAACAATAATTCTGAATTGAAAATTTGTTTAATATTTTTATGGAAATATCCTAAAAAGTAAGATAAAGAATGGTCATCCTTGTATTACGGATTTACTATTGATGGATCCCGACTTCTCCCGGGTTGATATGTATACATAATATATATGTATGTCCGTCTGGAATAAGATAGACTCTAGAAAGTGGACCTCGGTCTCACCTATTTCTGCAACCGAGTAGCTTGCTTCGTGAACTTTGGTCATATAAGGCAATTAAAAATGCAGGAAAGAGGTATGACAGAATAGAATAGAATAGAAAATCATTTATTCAAATAAACTTACATTGAAGCACTTTTGAATAGTCATTACATTTTTTTAATCTACCGCTCGTTCGGAAAGCTGTCTCATCACAAGAAGAACGAGCAAGAAACTTGCGTGTTGCTCTTTTAAATAAATTTATTATTACTTTACATTTTTAAGTTTAAGTGTGTGAATACAAACCACCAATTAGCACTAATTCAATTAAATACTCAAATAGAAAAAATATTGAATATATAACCGACTGGTTAAACAATTAATAAGAGGAAATCAGTCATAGTGATTAGAGCAGACCAGTCCCTACAAGCAGCACCCGTTCACGAGTATGACGGATGAGCCAGCCATCACAGCGCTCGACCATATTTTAGGGAGCCCAATGACCCGGCCCACCACGCCGCCACAAGTCTGGACATTTTAGTGAGCATGACTACTCAAAACTAGAATGGCAACGCTAATTGGTTGTAAGCTGAGATAAGGCAGTTAAAAATACTAAAAAAAGAGCTAAGAATGGCAAAGCGTCGAGCTGTATCTCAGGTGTCGCATGATAACGTGATTTTCTTACCATACCAGTAGGTTTGTTATTCCATTAGCGAAAGTGGAATTCAAATCGATTCAGACGTTTCTGAGATTATCGCTCACAAAATAATAAAACATACAAAATTATTCCATACATTAGCGAGAGCCGCACTCAAATCAGTTAGCCGTTTCTGAGATTATCGCACACAAAACTAACATACAAAAATTAGGTATAGTTTTTTTGTCTTACGTTGGTACAGTTATCAAAAATAACAAAACATACAATTAATTATTGTATTGTGTTCTCTTATGTTTGTGAAGTCTTCAAAGATACTATGTGTTATATATAAAGATATATGAGAAAAATTGTTATTTGTTTTTCTCATATATCTTTAAAAAAACCGTTGGAAGTTACCGATGGAAGTAATTTTTTTTATTACATATAGAAAGACAGACAACATAGACTAATATAGATTAAACATAATTACAGACCACTACAGGTGGGGCTGTTGTATATCAAGATGAGGAAGATGTTATTATATTATCAAGATATACTAATCTTGATATTATAATAACATCTTCCTATGTAAAGAATGAGTTATTTTTTACTGTATGTATACTAGCCACCGGCCCCGGCTTCGCACGGGAGCAATATGTCATTACTAATTTAATTTCTCGTGTTTTCTGTACCATATGATGTATATAATATATATAAAAATTTGTCCACGGTATTTATTGTTGGAAACTGTATTAAAATCCGTTGCGTACTTTAAAAGATACAAGGGAACAGACAGCGAAAATAACTTCATTTTATACTATGTAAATATATGTAGAAATAATTGATGCGGGAGAAGCTTGGAATTGCAACTAGTGTTAATATAAATTGCCCTTTAAAAATCGAACACGTATTTTTTATGCAAATAAAAAAAACGTAATGTAAGGATGGACCATAGACAAATAGCCGTGCCATATCATAGACAGCGACCCCGGGTAGAGTTGTATGCTAGCGTGTGGTCAGTTGGTGACGTAGGTAGTTGTTGCAGTGACTCCCCCCCTCGGCGCGTACCCTCAGCCGCAGCCGCCCCAGGGACCCTTCCTGCCGGCACCGCCCCATCAGGCAGCGCCGCAGTATGGAGGTTAGTTAAGAACACTGATTAAACTATTTGCTTTCACAATAGCATATGTTAGTGGCCACTGTGTTCTCACAAATTTTAATTTAAAAATGAATCTGTATTATTGTAAACATGTACAACATTTATTTGAAAAGAATACGAGCTGAGTTTCTCGTCAGTTCTCATCTCGAAATCATTCCGAACTGACGGTATATTTGATATCTTAAGAGTCTGTAATAAACCTACATGAATAAATATATTTAGATTTTTTTCAACTGTTACCTCAACATATTTGTATATATTTGACCAACTAAACATTAAGATACACGTGTATCTATACAAATTAAAGAGGTAAAGTTTGTATGTTTGTTTGTTCGAGGTTATCTCCAGTTATAATAATAATAATAATAAATAGTAACTGAAACGACTCCTTTTATCAAATTGTTTTTATCACCGCATACAATCACAGCGCAATTTCAGAATGAGCATGTAGTATGCTCTGAATAATGTCCACAAAAAGAAGAACCTCAAATATTGGTCCCGTGCGATGCCGGGGCCTATTTTTTCGGACTTCTCTAATACTGTTGGCCGCAGCTGGCCTTTACACTGGCCTTTACTTCACCGGACGATAGGGCGGCGAGTGCCGATGGCACTCCAAACCAAAGGAAGGACTATGGAGCGGCTGTAGGCCAACTCCCGCCTGACGGATACGACTTTAGTCTGAGGGCACCGCTAGGGTTACGAACCTCACCTCAGGCCGTCGCAATTTCGATCCCCGTTTGTATTGGACGGGGGATCGATCGGAGAGGGAGGATACCCGTTGTGACTCACCCTGTATATATAATGTGTGTGTAGTGCACGGCGCGGTGGCGGGCGGCTCCCCCTACGGGGTGACGTTTGGAGGTGCGGGGGCGGGCGCGGGTGGCGTGTATGCCCCGCCGCCATACGACCAGCTGCAGCACCACCAGGCGCTCCCCGCGCTCGGACAGCAGCTGCCGGTAATTACCACTTCCAACACCAACTCTACAATTAACACCGCCACCACTATCATAATCTCTATCAACACCACAACTATCACCAACACTACATCTACTACCACCACTATCACATCACTACCATCTCCATAACTACCTCTACTGCTACTACCACCACTATCACATCACTACCATCTCCATAACTACCTCTACTGCTACTACCACTATCTTTACCACCATTATCACAACAATACACAAGTTCAGTAGTTTAGGACTCCATCGCGGACAACACATTTTTATATATAAAGATATTGAGTTTGACTTACTAGGCATATTTAATTGCAATTATTATATTGATGTATCTAGGTAACCGTGTCCCATATGCTCAACAGATGTATAGTCCAGCAGCGGCGATGTACGCCGCAGCGGCCGGATATCCGGGCTACATAGGGTACCCGGTGCAATACTATCCGTACTACCCGACAGCGGCCGCCGTCCAGCCCTCGATTCAACCACTACGCCCTACAATCATGATACCAGTTAGTATAAATTTTACAATTATATATATAGCAAATACTTTATAAGGACTTCACAATACATTTATGAAAATATCATGTATACACGGAAGAACTTAGAGAGTTTTAAAAAACTCAAAGACTGTACAAGTAGAAACTTACGCAATATAAATAAGCTTATTTTACCTAAATGCCGTCTGCACAAAATCAGTAATTCATTATATGGTAATTGCATAAGATTTTATAATAAACTGCCAGAATCTGCATTAAATCTGACAGAGAGGCAATTCAAATCTTATATTAAACAATTTTTATGTAAGAAAGCCTATTACAGGACACACGGTGTGCTCGCTTCGTTGGACAATCTAGTGACGGTAGTTAAAAAAACTACTTGAACCTGTGTACATTGACGTCGCTGATACTCCAGTCAGCTCGTGACCACGGCTAGTGCAACCTAGTCGAGACGTCTAGTGACAAATACCTTTATCTACACATATATATAAAATTGGAGTGTCTATTTGAAATAACCGTTTTTTACTACTCGCATATGAATATAAATACGGTACATACACCAAAATAACATTTTTTTTTGTCCGTCTGTTTGTTACGGCTAATTTCTGAAATAAAGGAGTATCTTAAGCTACGTTTATTTTAGAAAAATTCTTTTTATTTTAGAAAAAATAATATTAATTTTCACGCGGACGAAGTCGCGAGTACATCTAGTTTAACATGAAACTATTCGTGTTAAGTACTGCTTAATTTCCTTTTATGTTAAAGAACCGGGTTTTACGCACATCTCTAAGAATGTGTAGGTTGGGACCTCAGGGCCCCTTTGCCTTATGGATCTAAACGTATGGGCAGGAAATTGACATATTTTTAATGGTATCATACATACATTAGTATCGTGTGAGGAATCTTAACTCGCGACAATCTGAAGTGTATACCTGCCGGGGTAGTCGGCACGGTGGTGAGAGTGTTGGTTGTGTGCGCAGCAGAACGGGTTCGAGGCCGGCGGCAGGTTCGAGGGTCTGGCGCAGACGCTGCTGCCGCCCGCGCCGCCCGGCGTGCCGCCCTCGCCCGCACACCTCGCCGCCCTGCAGCCCCACCAAGTGCTGTGAGTACCGCCGCGCCCGGGGGCACTGAGCGCTGTGTGCGAACCAGAACGGCTTCGATGCCGGCGACAGGTTCGAGGACGATGCTTCGCCTAGTTACTTATAGGGGGATAAAGGGTCTAATCCGGCCTGAATGATATCATGATGAGGAAGCTAACTTGAAGTTAACTCACAATAAAGTGTACCAGTCTATAGTAATGTCCCCATTGCTACCATGTCAGGTTGATCTCCATGTGGTTCCACCTGGAGGAATTTATCATGATGAGTCAACTGCCCTGATATAACACTCGTTTTGAGGAGAAGGGAATGATTATTAATGTAGAATGATGTCCTCATGCTTAGCAATGTACCATGTCAGGTTGATCTCCATACTGTAACCCTTAATTCGACGGAGATTTTTGTAGCAAAAGAAACTGATCGTTTTAGTAGTCATATTTTTATACTAGCTTTTACCCAGCTTCGCTTGCGTTAATTTATCCCTTTAGAGGTGGACTTTATCAAAATCCTTCCTCGGATCGATCCCCCGTCCCAATTCAAACGGGAATCGGAATTACGACAGCCTGAGCCAAGGTTCGAATCCCTAGCGGTGCCCTCAGACTAACGTCGTATCTGTCAGGCGGGTGTTGACCTTCAGCCGCTCTATAAATCCTTCCTTTGGTTTGGTGTGCCATCTGCACTCGCCTCTATCGTCCGGTGAAGCTGTAAAGGCCAGCTGCGGCCTTAGAGTATTCCGAAATAAAAAAATTAAATTAAAATTTGTTTTGCATTTTAATAATTTTTATTTTACTAATGTGTTTGAATAACTAGAATATGTTTATTAATGTTACCATTTTTAAATTACAGATGGCGTTAAAAACCGGGGCATTGGACGACCGACGGTAGCTAAGTGAATCTGTAGACGTAAGCCGAATTTGCTGTCCTTTTCTGCCGACAACGGACTCGAAAGAGACAACACTACTGTATCTTGGCCTTAAAATAACTGCCATATTCAACACACGAAACTTCTAATCGACCTGAAACTGTTTAACTATTTTTGTCCTGCTCTTTCAAGATGTTTTCTTATTTTAAGAAAGAAAGGGACAAAATTATTAAATCGTTCTGTAGGGATGTTTCAGTGATTGTGAATATAGTGCTAGGCTATAATTGATTTAGTTTTAGGTAATCGCATCTAAGTCATTAGAGGAATCATTTCAACCGACTTCTAAAAGCGGGAGGTTCTCTGTTCGATTGTATTTTTTAACCTCACAACTTGTGTGAACCGATTTATTGTTTATTTGAAAGTTGGTGCTTCTTTTATGGTAACTTATATACTTGATGAAAATCTGACAAGTAATTTTAGATATATTCATAATAATTCGACTTGAAGTCGCTGTAAACGTGGTCTGAACACGTTATTCAAATCAAATCAAATCAAAATATCTCTATTCATGTAGGTCTATTACAGACTCTTATGATATGTCAAATATACCGTCAGTTCGGAATGATTTCAAGATGAAGACAAGAAACTCATGTCTAATTCTTTTCAAATAAAATTATAGGGAGAATGTAGTGACCAGCAGCATATGCTATTTGCATTCTTATCAAAAGGAAATATTAAAAAAAATCTCTACATTTATTTATATTTAAAAATAATATGATCTGAAGAATATTAATAATATTTTCTACGTTGAAAATCGTTGGCTATTGACTTTGATGCGTTTATAAACAAAATTTATATAAATTGGTATTAATTTTTATGTCTAATTAACAGCTCTGTACAATTACATTTATATTTGCACTCCTAATAGTAACAAAAAATATACAAATATTGAAATATCAACTTTAATGTCTTAACTTTAAAGTCGTTTATAGATTTGTACGGAAAATGAACTGAGTATAGTTTCGTCTTACTCTACAATTGAGTAATTTGAACATAACTTAAAAAATTATAACTTTAAAAGTGATTTTTGTATTTGTATTTTTTTATTCAAATTAGGCCCGTTTATTATTACGAATGTAATATATAACATCGCTGTCTACGCGTCGCCGGATAAAAAATGGCCGGTGGTCCTTCGAGCCGGATTGCGAAAATTTAAAAATAACGTCACCGTTATAAAATTTGAAGTATTTTGTCTCCTTTAAATGAAATTTATAACAGAACAGACGTTTTAACATTATTATATAAAAATTAATACCAATTTTATTAAAAAAATATTAACAAAACCAAATATGAAAAGTAATTATGATCTGATATATATATATATATATAATAGTTGCACCGTCGGTATATCAACTTAGCCCGTTATATTTGACTGTGATGTCTTGAATTAGTGCAGTGCTTGTTCAACATTACCCAATTTAGACAACTACTCGCCCCGGCTTTGCGCGGGTATTTAAATTAATTTACTGAAAAATTACAAATTGTACACGTATATCTTTCTAGGAAGCAATCTGTAAACGGATGAGAACCGCATGAAAATCCGTTCAGTAGTTATTAAGATGATTGCGAACGTACAGACTGAAGAACTCATAAAAATAACTGAGGCATTAAAATTATGAGATAAGTGGCATGATGATGATGATGATGAGATAGTTCTCTGGAAAGACAACGCATGAGTGGTATCACGGGTGTCACATGATAACGTGATGTCCGTAGTGCTGTTCATGTATGTATACGCTTACCGCTCACCATCAGGCGGGCCGTATGCTTGTTTGCCATGCCGATAAGAAATAATATATATAAATAATGTTACTTTGCTCTCTATTACGTATAGAGTAATATTCGTTCCTTTAATTCAATAAATGAAAGAGAAGGGAGATGGTTAACGCACAAAATTTTAAATGTAAGTGTATTCGAGTCTTAATTTAATATTTATACATATTTTATAGACGGCCTCCGTAGTATAGCGGTTAACATATCGCCTTGTTTCCGATGGTCGCGGGTTCGATTCCTCGTACGCGAACATTTGTATTCATGAGTATGATTGTTTGTGTCGGTCTGGCTGTTTGCTATATATATATGTATGTATTTACAAAAGGAAATAAGTATTTATATCAGTTATCTAGTACCCATAACACAAGCATAACTTAGTTTGGGACTAGAAATAACTTAGTATAGAGAGACAAACAAAAAAATCTCATCTATCTAAGTAGCAGTATATATTACAAAAGAATAGGCTCGTACAAAAGTAAAACAAACAAATAATGTTATATAGTTATTATATTAATTACTCGATTGTACAAGTAGGGTATTGTGTTTAACAAGCACTGAACTAGACGCGAATGGATGCGGCTCGCCAGCGGCGATCGTGTCGACGCAAAAGTATTATAAATCGAAATATACGATTAGTCTTGCTCTGTGCTGTCCGTTACTAAATATACCGCGGTAACAGGTTTTGTTACCATATAACATAAAAGTAATTAAATAAAAAATCATGTACGACATTTTAGTCGCTTATGAACGTAAAGGTTTTTGTATTAATATTAGTTCCTTATCGTGAGTTTTTAACACTAAGATTGTGCAGGTTGGGACCTCGGGGTCCCTTTGCCCAGGCTACAATTAAAATCAAATAAAATAATGTATTCATGTAGGACATTTTAGCCGTTTATGAACGTCAAGTTTTTTCTTTACCGTGAGTTTTCCACGACTCTAAAAATGTTCAGGTTGGGACCTCTAGGCCCCTTTTGCCCCAGGCATCAATTTGGGGGGCAATAATCCCCGGGCAAGATTTAAGTCTATGGGCAGAATGTTTACACATCTGTTTTGTCCAGTTCAGTATACAGATTCAATTGAGAACTGGCAAGTAACTATTACAATATATCATCACGCTACGAACAATAGGTGCAAGGTAGCGAGCATAAAAGATCATAAAACACTTTTTATAAATCTCATTCCATAAATGGACAGCACATTGCAATAATTTAGTTATATATAATTGAGGTGCGGTGTGTTTGTGCGTGACGTGCGAGCGAGAGAGACGAGTGTGCGAGTGGGATAGCATGATTTTGTTTTTACGCGGTTTGTATGTATATTAGGCAGCAAATGTCGGATTGGATGTATTTAATTAAAGATCATAATCAAACAGGAATTAAGTCTAAATTTAACTGACGTTTTGGCATTTGAAAAGGTATAATCTCGACTTTGTTACATTTTGTTGGCAATAAATTGTTTATTAACTATAGAAGTTAATCCAAACGGTTTATTATTTACTTTGGATGAACTTTTAGTTAATTATTTGTAAACTGTGGGAACTGTACGTTTTTACTCGAATATCCTAATACAGTAATATCTCGGACTTACGCGTTAGGGATGTAGTCATGACCGTTTAAATCTATTAGTCAACCTCCATATAAATATGTAGAAATTGCTTATTAAGGCCCGTGGGCTAATTATGTAATTTCGTCGTCGTCAGTCGTTTCAGAGATTGGCAGGAAAAGACAGACAGATAATTTTTTTACGGTTCGCAATTGCAACGATTTAAAGGCCCGAACTGACTTCAGAACGAAAATCACGTATCCTCAAATTAACATACATAATTAAAATCCAGAGCCTAAAGAATATAAATTACAACAAATCTCCATTGTAAAATAGACTCTAATTCAACGGACTTTAGAACGAAAATCACGTATGCCCAAATTACCATACATAATTAAAATCCAGAGCCGAAAGAATATACATTCCAACACATCTCCATTGTAAAATAGACTCTAATTGAACGTACTTCAGAACGAAAATCACGTATCCCCAAATTAACATACATAATTAAAATCCAGAGCCGAAAGAATATAAATTACAACACATCTCCATTGTAAAATAGACTCTTGACAGGACGGACTTAAGAACGAAATTCGCGTATCACTAAAATTAAGACAATTAAAATCCAGAGCCGAAAGAATATAAATTACAACACATCTCCATTGTAAAAGAGACTCTAATTGAACGGACTTTAGAACGAAAATCACGTATCCCCTAACTGACATAAGTCTGGGTATTTTAGTAAATGTGGAAATTATTTCATAAATTTTTTTAGTCTATCAAATGTTGATAGCAATATGTATGTATACATCATTGACAGAGTGTATGTAGTTGTTTTTATAAACAAATTTCGTTATGCTTCCAATCAAATTTGATTATATTATGTTTATATTTGTGGAAAATATCTCGTATTATTGACTCGTTGATTATAATTGTTCCTTCTAATGCGTTGAAAACAAATATGACACCATATCTTCTCGAAATTATATGATTATAAAGAAATTTATTACAAAATTCACTATTTTCTAAATTACTACCATGAATTTTTCTAATCTTTGTGATGGCAACATTGAATAAATTGGTAGTTTAAAAAATATCTACCTTATTAAATAAAACATTTGTTTAAAACTACTGTTTTAGTAGTTTCAATATTAAACAAAATTTATTTAATATCATAATAGTATGTTATAAGAAAATCTAATGTAACATTTAGTAAAATGGTAGTTTTAAATATTATCTACCATATAAAATAATAAAATTGTTTAAAACTACTATTTTAGTAGTTTTAATATTAAACAAAATTACATTCAAATCATATTAGTATGTTGTAAGAAATTTTAATATAATAATATTGATGTAATTTTACAATATAAAACAAAACTACTAAAATAGTAGATTTTCACGTGCAGTGTTGCCATCTAATAAATAATATAATACAAATCATTTATTACAGTACACAAATGAATAATAAATAATATAGTTAAACGGGGTTTAACACGAACAATTTTGTGGTAAATAAAGATATTTACCTTTCAAATTAATAATAATAATCGTATATATAAAATTCTCGTGTCACAGTTTTCGTTCCCATACTCCTCCGAAACGGCTTGACCGATTCTCATGAAATTTTGTGAGCGTATTGAGTAGGTCTGAGAATCGGCCGACATCTATTTTTCATCCCCCTAAATGTTAGGGGTAGTCCAACCCTAGTTTTTTTTTTGTTTTAAGGCAAAACAACATTTGCTGGAACAACTAGTCTTATATAAAATTCTCGTGTCACAATGATAGTTACCGTACCCTTCCGAAACTCCGAGATAGGTGACAACAGTTGGTTTAATACCGTAAGTGTTAAAAAATTAATTAACTATGTGATGTATGGTAATTATATATTATCAACATTGTTACAAGAATCTCATTTTGTGTCTTTTCATATGAATTAACAGTTTTTATTTATTATTCTATTTTTGGGAAGAAACTGACTCAGGATATACAGCTCACGCTAGCTAGGAGTCAGGACTGCATCA